CGATATCGATTTTATCGATTTTTTGCAAAATTTGAGCTACGGAGCAGGGAGTTGGCACAGGGGGGTAACCGAGCATGCTGATTACAAATATATTATTGATAAAGCCGGGCGGAGCCGGGTTTGCCAGCTGGTATGGTTATGAAACTCCTTTGCAAATATAAAAATTGTCATTTAATAGGTTAAGAAATATCTTTCAATGCTGCAAACTGGGACTGGGTGGTGTGCCATTTTGAAAATCCTCGTTTGTTTCTGTTGCTTATCGCACTGTGCTCAAACCTCCAAAAGTTGATTTACGTCAAACTAGAAATGGAAAAGCAAAAGGCAGTTGACTATATAATTCTAGCACACCCCAATGCGAGCAAGTAAAAATTAGCATTTTGGTCGTGGACATTTGAGCTGAATCATCAATCGGGGGTATGGTAGTTTGAAAATTTCTGGAGATAATTCACACTAATGCACGATGTCTACAGTCCACCATGTTCTACCAAATAACGAACCCAGACGCTTTATAATTGAATAGTTCTTATTGTTCTTATCCTATCAGTTCACAAGCGAACGCACTAGTCACACCGTTCTTCACAGGCACATGCTACTTTGTTAGAAATGATATTACTTACAAAATAAAGTAATCCAGATGCAGTCAGAAAGCTCAAAATTACCTTTTTGGTAACAAATTAATATGCAAATGAATGATAATTGGATCCAGCTTCGTCTGCATCACATTCACTGTGGTAGTTTAAAATTTAGTTTGATTTAATATCCTATACTCTGGTCTTCTGACAAGCCATTCATTGTCTGCGGCACAAGATAGAATTAAGCTCCGTGCTGTCCTTGTCACTTGGACATGCACATCAAATCACTCACAATCGTCTCCTCTTATCTATTCACCGCAACATCGGGCTCTCGCTAAAGATCTACTCACTAGGAGATGCTTTTTTTTTCTTTCTTCTTTGTAAAAGTTTTGTAAATTAAAAACATCTTTCTATTCTCTCTTCAGTCATCTGTTGCTTCCCCTCCTTCAACCAACACACATGTTGCTCAATATTTCATCAATGGAACTGCTGCAAGATTCATGTTATATCCACCTGTTTGATGTTTCGCGACTATCGTAACATATACCAATTTTCTACTTGTAATATTAGTCACTAATGTTTCATCCCCGTGGTGTGATTGATTCGCCTTTGATAGTCAGATTCTTTCAAACATAGAAGATCTTTTGAAGAAGCAAACTTACTCTTACCGCTGCAGAAGTAGTGTCTTCATCCTACATCAGAACTGTGATAGGCGATTTTTCATCTTCAGCTTTTACAATATTCATGTACATACCCAAGCAGATGTGATGCTAGTGACCGACTAGTCAATCGCAACGATGTATTATGTTGTTTCCAATGTTCTATCGCTTTCATATTTGAAAATTCGTAACTGCTTCCTGTGTCGACGTATTTGTTTACAAAAAATCGTATTAGAAAGAGAAATTCAATTAATTTCTAGCAGTAGCCTCGCTTCTGTTTGACAGCAAAAAAGCTTCAAAGATTAAAATCAGAAATGAAGGACCTCTCAAACTCCCGATTTTTTTAAAATAAACCGTCAAAAGCTCGAAACACTGCAGAAAAGTCTGAGAGCATGTTTCCTATGAGTTTTATGATTTGCTCTTTCCAAAAGTGCCAAGTTTGTACTGTATGGAGATTTTCTATGAAATGTTATGATTTTCGAGAAAAATGCGGAAAATCAATCGTCAAAAAATCATTTTTGCCTTTTTGCATTTTCCTTGAAAATCGTAACTTTTCATGGAAAAGCTCGGTCAGTACTAACTTGGCACTATTATGAGGAGGAGCAGGTTACAAAACCTATAGGAAACATGCTTTCAGATTCTTCTGAAGTGTTTCAAATTTTCGATGATTTATTTTCGAAAATCGGGAGTTCGAGTGATTCACCTTCTCCGAATTTATCTCTGGAGCTTTATATTGTCAAACAGTAGCGAGGGCCTTGCTAGAAAACAGATTAATTCTTTTATAATCTGATTTCTTGCAAGCAAATGCGTTAACATAGGAAGCAGTTGCCAATTTTTGTAAATTCAAAGCGACAGAACTTTCGGAGCAAACTTATAGACACTTTGCGCAGTGCTCATTTGAAAAGATGTTTGCTTGGCCGCTGGCTCAGCTGGCATTTCTAGAGCGGATGCAAGCTTTTTTTGTATTTTTGGAGCATTTGGCGCTAAAAGATAATCTAGGAGGTCATTTTCTTGGAGTGACTCTGTCAAACCACTGCTTCTCTCTTTACTTACGACCTTTATATGACGCGGTAGTAGATTGACGGCGTGCCGAAAGAAGTCTTTTTTGCCTTCTGGTTAATCAGGTCCGAATATTAGACAGTAGCCTAATTGGAGATAAGTTCCTCCAAAATATACACACCTCCAATGTGATGAGACACTCAAAGGCAATAACGAACACAACGCCGAACCTCCTTGAAATAGACTTATGAGCAGGGTCAAGCGTGGGGTGCGGCACGCCACACCTGGGGGGTCGTATTGAGGAGTCAAAGGGGGAGGGGGTCGTAGTTGGGTAATCTGATAATAGTGATAACATGATATTTGTATCATATCCATAATTAGCATGTCAATTAACCCCTGTAAACAAAGTGTGAGCGAATTCTGAAGATTCAAGATACTAGGCTACCTAAATGAAATGGTCAAATTCCAACATGGTTAATTTTGTTTCAAAGGTGAATTAGCTATCCCTTTTTGCACTCAAGTCAAAGCACTACTCCTTCTTTGTCCATCTCAGAAATCCCGCTTCAAAAGACCTCCAAACTGTAGAATTAGAAGCCAACCAAAATCTCGTTTTTCCCATTTTTAGCTTTTGATCGCTGTGCTTTCACCAAATATTACTTAAAGCTAAGAAGACAAATCAAGCTCCAAACAGTCCTATGGAATCTACAAGGTTTAGGCTATTGATTCATATAAACACTGTCCGCTAAAAATGTTTTTTTGATATAGTTAATGGGGTGCGGCACACCCCCTTAGAAGCTGCGGCTGCCGCAGCTTTCAAGGGGGTGTGCCGCACCCCCTTAAGAAATTTGGAGCCGAACGCCCCACCCATAAGAAAATTATGGCCCTTTCAATATGCCCATTCAGATCAAAATCAGCCGTCAAATTACGTGTGATTGTAAAGTGCAGTCACATCGGGCGTACAGCTCTCAGAAATCTGAAAACTCTCTAGAAAAAGATGGTGTCCTCCAGAATGTCACACTTTGAGGTCCAGAGGTTAAGGAGAGGAGGGAGGGGTCGTTTGAGGGCTTTCATGGGAGGGGGGGGGGGTTTCGAAAGACTTGTGCCTGACCTCTTTCTCAACTCTGGTAATGCTATCTTAGGTATATAGTTCAGAAGGGGGGGGGGGTCTTATTAAGACAGCGATTAGGGAGGGGGGGAGGTCGTAACCAGCGATCGTGTGCCACACCCCTTGCTTGACTCTGCTTACAAGCTGCGATAGCTCCGGGTTTTGTGAAGGATACGAGAAAATTTTCCAAGAACCTCTTGAAAATTTTCATATTAAAATCGCAAGCGTCATCGGTACTCCGGATGAGGAGGCGAAACTGTCCAAAGCTTTCACTTTATCACTAAAAAAATGACTGCATGTATTCGCGTTGCCTAGTGGGTATGAACGTTTAACTTCAGAACAATATTTTAGTTTTAGGCTTACTGTTGACCATCGTCATTGTGGGAAAAGCTGATATTGTTGGATTGATGAGTTATATTATATCACAGCTTCTCCTAGCATATTAGTAATCGCTCCCCATCAAAAAGAGAAGTGAAGCTGGCAACTCCAGAATGTTCCCAGGAACCCATATGAAAATAGTGATATAGTGTGTGTTGAAAAAACTCACTAAGCAAACTTTCACACAATTGTGCACGGATTTATGAATAATTGCGGACAGCGGTCATGCAAGGATTTTTGTGGGAATTCTCAGGCCATAGAACTTCCATATTACAGATTAATTCGAGTAAGCTATTCCTGCAGCTGGGCAACTCGATCCGATGTAATTGCAGACATCCTATTTGCTTTAACGTCATCAACATATTCACGACAAGTACGACACACCAGCATGTCATACTTGTTCTGCCATTTCGGACAATAAAACCCTCCGCTGGGTTCTTACCAAAGTTTTGATTTTCCAGTTCACATCCAAGCTTCAGGGGGTTTTGGCACCTGTTCGAAATACATGTAAATGCAAGGACACAATCATCTCAGACCATAGGACCTATCCGTTGATCGTAACTTTGAAGTTTCAAAATTTTAGCCCTGATCCGAATTGGCAGTAATCGAAAGAAAAAGCTTGATTTTGGATGTGTTAATATCTAAACATTTCTCTCGTTTGACAATAGTCAGTCATGATGACCAGTTGTTGACCTATGTTCGAACAATCGCACTTTAACACGTTTCGGACCGCGAAATCGCGCGCGGCGAAAAAGAGTGTACTTTCAGCCGTTAGCCTACAAAGGGACCTTATTTCGCAGCCTGTGGGCCACATTTGTAATCAGCATGTCAGATAACCTCCATATCCAAAGTTCTGAGTGAATTCGAAGTGTTTGAATTTTGTCGCTTGAGAGGGACTTTCGTGCTTTCTTGAAAGATAGGAACAAGAACTCAGATTCTAATAGTATTCAAAAGTATCTATGTTGTACACGGTACACATCATTATTGAAACTAGGGTTTTTCTCTTCGAAATCAAAGCAAAGAAAAGTCGCGACGTCGCACGCGTCGTTCGCGTCGCCGCACTTCGTTGCAACTGTTGTTCGATTTGTGCTCATATCTCCTAAACAAATAGCGGCGGCACAACTCTACAGAGTCACTTGGAAAGTAGAAGCTTTAGCCTTTGACTTGATAACCTTGGGCTAAGAGAAAACCTCCTGTATACGTCAAAAAGATCCTTCAAAGCAGGGTGCTGCACCATGTGCAGCACCGGTCCGAAACGTGTTAAGTAGGTTTGCATGCTCCTAAATCATGATCTTCGTTTTTTATTGTTATGGAAATTTTGTCTCTCAAGTTTTATTGCAGAACTCGCTCCAACCAGCCACCGAATACATGCCGCGTAAGTTTTTCATAGTCTTTTTCATAAGTATTTTGTCTAATTGATCTCAAGGCTCAAGTACTTATACTTTGTGAACACCAATCAATTTGTTAGGACTACTATTATGCCTTCAAGGTAAAACGACTCATTGAAACCACTCAGCAATAGCAATATCGAAAAGAAATGTTCATTAAATGTTAGCAACGAAGGAATGGGCATGATTTTGTACATTAAGTTTGAATCATAGATACATTTGCCCGTTAAAAACGTTGAATAAAGTCATATTATAAGGAAAAAGCGTAAAAGACAGGTTCAATCCAAACACTAGTAAAAGTAATTTACGTCGACTTTCTCAAAGACGTGGTATTACTGAGAATCAGTAAACTGCTATTTTATACTTGGCCAGTAACACCCATAAAATCAAGAGTTAAAAATGAGTGTCGATCATTGTAGGCGAATTGTAAGTGGGCAAAATGATCCTAAAAAATATGTAAATTTTTCTTCAGGCAATAGTCAGAGTTTTGAATGATCCTCCAGAATTGGCTCTGATGAGCAAACTATTCTAAGTTGTTTGTGTAACCTCCCTTATCTACAAACTATGGTTATCATCTATGGTAAACACATGCTCAACACCTTGTACGCAGCATCCATATGCATGAGATTTTTATTTGTGTGAATACTCAACAGCTGTGGACCTTAACCTTTCTCTCCATTAAAAAATGTTAGGAAATTATAATTCTGGAACTTGATTTTATCAGGTGCTATGTATGTTCCCCTACTATTTGCACTCACAATCAGTCAGTAACTGCATTTCTAGCATCAGCTTACTGTTAATATATCTGTTATAAAAACTAATAGATAGTGCGGAGGAACTTGTCAAACCAGCCGCATAGCGCATGATTACAGGGCTAATAGAACCATTTTCAAGCAATGAAAAGGAAAGTTCTAAACTTTATGATGTGTTGTTACAGCACAATTTATCTTTCAACTTTAGCAATCAGCTAATGTTTGTTAGCTCCCTTTTCTCAACGTTTCAAGTGATATGAATGGAATTAGTATATGGAATGCTGCTTCGCACAAACCATAAGTCGAATGTAAGAAGAGATTTGCGCATCCAAAAACTGAAGTGGTCTGGTCTGAATGTCTCAAGTGAAACTGTGGTAACTTTTATGGACAAAAAGCTCCTGAGAACTTATTTCAAAAAGTCAAAACGAATCGAAGAGCAGGAAATCGGCTTACTTTGCGTTTATCATGTGGAAAGGTCCAGTAAGCATAGAAAGAACTTCGCATAAACACTGGCCACTCCTGCCTTGAGATTTTTGATCAGAAATATGTACAGAAGTATTCAAACTTAGAACTATATGGGCTTGTAAAAATGTTGAATAAACACTTGTAATTATTTTTATTGTTTTCTTTTTACAGAATCAGAGAAACTTCGTGGAGCATGGATTTTAGCTGGACTGTATGCAGCAATAATGGTTGAATCTGCCACAGCTGGTGTTTTGTTCCACGCTACCCTTGCCGAAATGATCGACCACAGTCGTATGTCCGTTCAACAACGGTAGGATTCTTAAAATTATATTTGATAGCAGAACAGGCTGTTTATACTCTGTACATTCAGGGATTCCATAGCTATTATAATTCTCACTTTCGTTGTTGTATCTCTAATCGGTAAGTACCAGTCTTCAATTTCAGCCTCAGCGCAAATCAGAATTTCCAGGATATATCCTTACCATACCATTCCTCTGCTATGCGGTACAGAGGCACTCGGCAACAGCTTTGGTGCCTTACCTTGTCTGGAGAATGCTGTTCTCAATCATTATTCTTACTGTCGTTGTCTGGCAGGTAAAGTCTAAATTTATGTTTGCGTACTAGTAAGTTTAGATAGGCTTTTTAGGCTACTGCATTACCTAAAAGGCCGTTGTTGTTCCGATCAGCTTTCTTTGATCGACAGCTTCCAGTGGCTGTAGCGGAGGTAGCAATTTATTTAATTTATATAAACAACTCTGGACTAGGTCTTCCCCCATTGAAAATCGGGCGACATTACTACCAAAAACAGCTTAATCACGAAAATAGTGAAACACTCGTAACTTACTAACACAGCATCATGCAAGAAGCGCCGATACCTTAGTACTTGAGAAAGCCCTTACCCTTTTGTAGGAATTATTTATACTTGCATTTATAAGCACACTAAGGTGACACAGAACACACAAGAACAATAGGCTACGGTAAGCAACAAGGTGAAAAAGAAAACAATCTGCAAAGGTGACGCCCTTATTTGCACCAGTACATTTCGCTTGGAATTAGAAGAATAATTTTTTCGCAAATTAGAAGAATTTTTTAAACACTGTATGTGTTTTGAGTACACTTGACTAAGTAATACCGAAATGAGATTAGGAAAAGGGGACATACATGCGCGTTTTATAAAAAAAGATATACATACAGATTTTGACTGAAACACTTTAATGGACAGTAGCAAACATTTTAATAAACATAAGTATTGATACTCATGGTCCCCCTTGCGCACGAGTAAAATATTCTTTCTAAGAAGAGTTGTAGACGTCTAGAGATCCACAGCTTAGATCTAGACGATGGGGAAAAGGAAATCTTCGCCTACTAATTATGAGTCACTTCTCAATTTTGATAAAAAAAAACGATAAAGAGACATTTCTGCGTCAGCATCAGCATGAATGCCTGATTTTTATGGCAAATATAGTAGAGCAAAACTACATCCATAATCTAAAGAAAATTGCAGATACTCGTTGGAACGATTTTCTTCGGAATCGCACTAAGGGCTCATCGCGAATTCACAACAAAGCGACTGACCCGAGAACGTCATATGGACAATGATCCATTTTTATGAATTCTTTGACAAGCTTTGATTCCGTATATCCTCCCAGTGCCTAACATTTGCTCATCGCATTTCACCTCCAATTATCTAGATGATTTCGTGCTGATAGAGGAGAATTCATGATTGTCACCAAGTGATTTATGGGATGTTCCCGCGAATAATCTTGATCGAGATTTTCTTGTCCATCTAGCTGATGTGTTTTTGACAGTTCTGAACATTTCAAACCAAAAGCTTGTCAAATGAGCGAGTGGCGGATTGAATCATAGACTAGTTTTGGTTTGAAATCGGGTTTTTCAGTGAAAGCAGACATATCGCCGTGAATTGTAGAAGCATAATCTGGAATAAATTCATAATATAGCCTATTGAAACCTGATTTCTACATTTTATGATAGCTACATCCTTGTGAGGCTCCAGTTATTTTTCTGTGAGTAGAATCGTGACTGCTGCTAAAGCAGTAGAAGCAGTAATGCTGGTTATAATGAGGATAGGCTAGCTAACAAGACATTGTTAATAGAATTGCAGGTTCTTGTATTACAAGGTCTTGTCCATCGTTGCAGAGTAAAACTAAAACATGTATTAGCACTCATGATGTCATAACATCAAAATGTGTTCATAAATCAAACTCGAGGTATCTTAAAGCATACACGATGATGTATGAGGGCTCTTCACTGCGTGTTTCTCGTACAATAAAAAGCTGCGAAGAAATAAAGAAATGCTTTGTTTCTGCAGTCTTAAACAAACGCACTCTGGTTTATATTTCTTTGAAGGAAGCACTTCTGGTACCCGTACTTCATAAGTTGTATCAGATGCTAGACCAAATCAAAATTTAGAAAATCTTAAATATTTGTGCTTTTTAGACAACAGAAAACAGCATACATGTGATTTGAGGAAAGCACTATAGTTTAGTATGAGGAACTCGCAGTGGCTGGAAAAAGAACTGAATTCCGTCACGACATGGTTTATAGTTGGTCAATTAGAACATTAAGCCATTAGTGTCATTTTCTTTGAAAGTCCATCAAAGCCGACGGATTCCAGCTCTTTAAAACTTAGGATTTTTCTCGTATAAACTTTGTCTAGCGGTCATTAATCAACAATCATTCCAAAGTGCCTTCTTAGAAAAGGTAAAAAAGCGGTTAACTCTAAGCAGTTCGTGTGACTTGCATGAGATTTGAGTAGATTTTCAAAGCAATTATCATAGAAATCGGACTTGCAATAGACAGGAGCACGAAAACGCTGTTGAGTTTTTCTGTTCAATAAATCATTCACTAAAAAATCGTATTTTTCAAGGCAGTATCATCAGTCTTCCTCCTGGCTTCCAGTCCAGAAATATGGCGCCTCACATTCGTAGCATCTCTTAACGTTCTGAGAAAAGGGTGCAGCTTTTTTTAAAGTTTTTTAGAGCCTGGAATTTGGCTTTCGTACTTACAACCCTCAGAGACGACTGCCAGCATTAAGAAAGGTAAGGAATTTACAGTGGATTGCGTAACTAGGTACAATTACTCCATTGCACTTGCTAACATCGCTCGTCAAGTAATGTCACAGAAGTAGCTGCAAAAAACCCACACAAGAATCTACAAGAGTGTAAGAAGTTTGTACAAACACGACCGAAAAACTTGACTTGCATATGTATCAAGGTTAATTGCATGAAGTTATGGTATGAAATGGTTTGGAAGAACACCTTATAACAATTCGTGTTTGCGAGATTTTAGCCTGGATGGAACTTGAGTACTAGCTTCTATGCGAGACAAAGTAAATTTGCTTTGAAAATCCGCATCATATTACTATTTTTACTGACTGTTGGCCAGGAAATTTTATAAGCAACAGCGATAGTCATTTGCCTGCTCAGTGTAGAAACATACACACTTTCAAGTGCATACATGTAAGTGTTTCCCTCCCTTGAACAATGTAGCTCTACGCATTCGTGTTTCGACTCTGAGATGCTTTTTAGATGCCCTCCCTCTTAAGCACTCAAGGTTTTAATCTCCAATGATACAAGTGAAGTGCTTTAGAGACTATAGGAACTTCGAATTATTCGAGTGAAGATGCGGAACGCCATATAGTAACCCACTATTGTAGTCTGAATTATTGCACATCAAAAGCAGGTCTCACAGCACATGGCAGTGAAGAATATAGGTCTAGAAAAAATTCGCGGCATGTTCTCCGCGAATATTAGGAGCAGTTCCCCATAAAAATGGTCAAAGGAGGAGAGGTTCAGTGCCTATGTTGCGAATTTTTGGCTTTGATCCGATTGAGAAGCAGCAAAGTCCTACATACAGCGAAGATCTATCTAATATATATAAAGAATCGTTAGCTCAATTCAAATTCTTCCAATAGCGGGAAACCGCGGCTGGTCCCGAAGCGAACTCTCTTCCAAAAAGCACCTTTAGATTACTGGTTCACTAGTATACGTAGAGCGTAGTATCATTTTGACCAAGTGACCAAATACTATTTTTGCTCATTACCACTGGCAACATCCTTATCCTATCCACTACTATCAGTGTGCAATTTTTTTCGTTGCGATCACAACTGAAAACCGGTCATCTCCCAGCTTTCCTCTTTCACTTTCCGAAAAAGGCGCTCTTTCTGATGCGAAAAATGCTTTGACAAATGATATTGCGGGAACCGGTTCGCACTTCGCTGCACAACCGCTCGAAATGCTCAAATTCAAATTCGCTGCTTGAAAGATGACGATGTGTACTGACTGCCAATGATCTTTTCAAGATTTTCGGATTGAAACAGTCACTGATCACTTGAGATGATAAGACGCAAAAGTATGTGAACATTTAACATTTTCCAACTATCTCAATGCCTTCTTCCGCCACCCGCTCGCGACAAATGCGGAATTGCAATGCTTTTTGAAAAACCCGTTAGGTTTTGTTAATCGAACAGCCTCACTTCACTACCGCGACCCGTCTTTTCGTACTCTTGAGGACTCCCAGCATGACTCATTACACAAGCAGACACATAACAAATTAGGTTTAGAATTTTATTTATTTTTTGTTCGGAAAGACATAAGTCGCTCAGCGAACAAAACGAAAATGAAGAGGTTCTGTGGCACAATACACTGAGTGAATCGCGATGCTCGCCTAATATCCGGGAGCTGTACGAGGTGGGGGGCAGTGGTCGCATCCGCCTGCAAATTATGATATGAGCAAATGGCAACATGTCTACGGTCAAAGTGTTTGTATAGCGCTTACCAGCTGGTCCTGTTTCTCCATCGGGTCCATTTTCTCCATTTGCTCCAGGTTGTCCGGGTGCACCAGGGGCTCCATTGTCTCCGGGAGGTCCTTGAGGTCCGGGCTGTCCTGGTTGTCCATCGGGTCCGGGTTGTCCATCGGGTCCAGGGGGTCCTTGTGGTCCAGGAGGTCCGGGTGGTCCATTTGGTCCGGGAACCTCGTGGAGTTGTCCTGGAGCTCCGGGAGTTCCTGGGTTTCCTGGCTGTCCATCGGGTCCGGGAGGTCCGGGTGGTCCTTGTGGTCCTGGGGTTCCAGCTTGTCCAGGGGCTCCTGGCTGTCCATCGGCTCCTGGGTTTCCAGGGGGTCCCTTGGGTCCTGGGTTTCCAGGTGGTCCTGGTGGGCCATCGGGGCAGTCGAAGCAGAAGTCGTGGGGTGGGGCGGGGGTGGCTGGTGGTCCGTCGGGTCCGTCTTTGCCGGGTGCTCCTGGCTGTCCATCGGCTCCATCTTCTCCGTTTGGTCCTGGGGGTCCAGGTGGTCCAGCAGGAGAAACTCCGCAGCCACAGCAAACTCCAGCAGGGGCGGACTCAAAGCTACCCTCAACTCCGGCAGAGCTGTATCCAGCTTGACGGCGACTCCTGAGCGCTCCTCCAGAGACCTTGGCGAGCACCTAAGAGACATCAGACATTTTGAAGAATTACAAATGCAAGCCATGAAGAAACAAACCTGTGTCCGGGTCACTTCCCGCCAGATGTTTCCGGAACGAGATTTACAGAAGTCAACCTCACTCTGCATTACCGACTGCATGTGTTGCATGTAGTTGTAGAGCATAGGGACTGAGATGACGCAAACGAGGGTAGCCATCGTGGAGATGGCAACGCCAAAGAATGCTACTCTGCGAAGAGAGTTAGCCTCAATCTCGAGCTCCTTTTCGTTGCTCATCTGGAAAGATGAGACGTAATTCTATAAAAAGGTCGAAAACGATTATCAAGCAAATTAGCATCATAATGGCTTTAGTAATGAATGTGAAATTTTGAATTAAGAAAAAAAACTAAATAGGGTTAAATCGTCATCAACGTAGCTATTAATGTAATCGCAAATAGGACTAAGTAGTGAATCTAATCACATCACAGTCAGCAGAATAGGAAAAGCCGTTGAAGTGAGCAGAGCGAGAGTTTGAAACACGAATACAAAAATGGTAAGGTGTCTTACCGTTGTTGTGTGAGATGCTATGCCCACCTGGTATCTCCCTGAGGCGAGTTGCCTTTTATAGTCGAGTAGGGCGGTGATTCCGTGGCTAGACAGCGACGAAATAGTGCAAGACAGTAACGAAATGCGACGATAGAGTGCACGATTCTACGAGACAACAGGCCAAGGTCGACGCTTGACGCCGACGGGTTCCCGGTTTGTAAGCGGGCTAATGTTAATTAAGGTACAACGCATTTTCCACAAACACAGTAACTACACAGGTCAATTTTAGGTCAGATCAGCCATGAGTAATTCAGCGATTGATGTAACGTGGCCTCCCTTTCGGACCTAGAAAAGCCTTTCAGCATTGTAGTTAGTTAGTAATTGGCGGAGGTACTGTATCCTACTGTAGTCTGCTCGACTTCCTTCCTGCCTTTTCTCTTTGCTAACTTTTATTATCGTGACCCGCCACGCCACAATGTAGTTAAAATTCTGCGATTAAAATACATCATAGTGCACATTACTATTTGCAAAGTGAGGTTACTTCATAATCCGTTTGTTTCAGAAGTCCATAACTTTCAGTTTCCATTCCCATAATGTGGCATGACACCTGAGCTCCACCGCTGCAATAGACGATAAGCTGCACGCTTTTAGAGTTTCTTTGCTCTCATAGTGTTTGATGTCAATCTTCCAATTCCCATATCAATCCACTTTTTATAATCATACCTTGAATAATCTCGAAATAACAATTGTAACCTATCAATCATCGTATTGACAAATTTTCACCTAGAAATTCAGTTCATGGATTTTCGAAGTTCATTTGTGCGCTTGTCTAAACGAAATTGTGTTCCACTAGTAGGTTATCAGAAAAACCGCAAGCGAAGCGATGACGATTTCCGAAGAAAACGCCGACGTTCCACCTTACCCAAAAAGAACTTATTGATTATGGGGGGTGCACGAGAGTTTGTGCAACTATTGTAACAAGAGAGAATATCTCTTGAGTTGTTTTAAACGTGTTACAAAGACAGTGACGCGTGTCATCTCTAATTGGACCACCTATAAGTGATGATGTAAATGATGATATTTAGTACGATGATCAGTTCAGACGTGTGGCTCGTGCCCGGGCCTTACGCAGTTTTCTCGCGTGCCACACTCTAAAGGTGTTGGTCAACGCAGCGTTGTCTTAAGCGAATAAAACCATCAAGGGACTCCGTAAGCAGCGGAAGTGCGATGAGAGTGTGTTGCATTCTGCAAAAACTGACTGCAGCTGAAGATAAGTAGGAGCTAGTTCCTCACATAGCCCTCGAGTTCTTGTGCTAGTCTTAGTCTGCTCTTTTTGTACGAACCCTGAGCATAATGCCCTTGCTGTGCTTTCCCGCAATGCTGCACTTTCACCGACACGCATTTGCACCGCGCGTAGGCGCTGCTTGCCCGTATCTCACATTCGTTTGGCTATCTCTGAAAGGTATCTCCTTCGTCTTTTCGAGTAAAGGCGCCAAGGTCAAGTTCAGTTCAATTTCAATGTAACAGATATGCGAATTCTCAGACGATGAACCGTTGTTGCTGAATGTTTGCCCGAGAGCTGCTAACCCCGTCAAGGTCGCCGTTAGCCATACACCGCTACACAGAGACTCGGGTCTCTTCGGTTGCACTCTAGCTACACTCTCTGGGCTAGCGCGCTCGGTTGTAGTTTGTGCATGCTTTGTTCGGGTTAGTGAGACATAGCCGCGCGAAATCACACTTTCGATCAGCGCGCATTAAATTATGCCCTGTTTGTGAAGCGTTTTCTAGATTCGCGACATGCTACAGGCAACATGGGTGGTCTCTGTGACTTGATCATCGCAGGTGATTATGATTCTTGCAATTTCGCGTTGTTCACTGGCAGCGCTGCACTCCTCAATCAAGGCAAAAAATTTGCAATGCTCTATAATACCAGAATCTACCCTCTAGCTGACTACGATTAATACTCAGACAAGTGTAGTAACCACAAGTTAGAATTGCACTTAGAGAGATTTTGCGCCATCCAAGATCGCTTTATTTTGGACGAACGTTCATTGGTCTCTTTTTTTTTTCTAAATCTCTACGGTGCCATCCGTCAATGATATATTGTGATCGCATGTCAATGTCAGAAATGACCAATTATCAGAGTAGCCATTTCGGTAGCATTTTGTTTCTGATGCAGTGGGAAATCTGTCACTGTCTGGTAGGTATACTTTACACAATAGCGGTTTCTTCAGAATCGTCTGAGTGAATTTATCATAGTTCTGTCATGGAAATCACTCAAGTGCAGAACGATTTGTGTCATTCGAGACCTACAGAATTTCCAAGATGATAGAGATGGAAGAGACTTGCGCACCTCGGGTGCCACACGAGCTTTTTTACAAGTAGCAGAATCTATCATTACCAACTGGCACATTCTTTATGGCCATATCTAGTGACTAGCACATTTATCAAATACTCCAACTTCTTCAATATTACAACAATGAAGGGTACTAGGTGCCATTTGTAGATAGTATGAATGACATGGCACTTACTTTTTAACGTCGTCACGAGAGAATTCTCCTGTCGCACTGGGTTCTTCTGCGACTCGCGGTAATGAATCAGGAGCTGTCTTTCTGGGTTGGTTCATTCAGACCACCCATATGGGTTTAGTTGTGAACTTGCACCCAGTCAAAAGGGCGAGTCTAACTTCTTGTATCCGCTTACAACGGTGAAACTATGCTGTAAACGTTTCTAGTACCATCGATGGTGATAAAAAGACAAACCCAGCCGAAGCAAACCCTCATCGTCTAAATGCAACCAAACATGGTCACCATTACGACAATATCCATGTATCGCTCATAGTCTTGATCATACATTACCTGATATAGTTTTGCTCATAAAATTCAGCAAAAAAGGTGATTTAAGACGCTATGAAAAGGTGCTTGAGCTTGATCAAGGCCCTTTTCGTTTCATTGTCTCAAGGTCGTTTATCGAAGACCGGAAGCTTAACGGCGCAGATTTCCCGCGTATTTTCGACTTTTATTCTTATAACACTGTTTGGATCTTGGGATGCTAATCTAATGCTTTTTAGAGTAATCCTAACTTCAAGATACTTTAGAACAAAGCTATGCAGACAAACGACACTCCAATACACTTATCGACGTTATCCCAATGGACTTGGGACTCAAAAAGCGAAACTTCTTGATCGAATGACAAGCACGTTGCGCTTTCCGTGCTAATTCGATAGATTAGATCACTTCCATCGCCTCTTAGTTTGCGCAATAAGGGAAACATTTTTGGTAATAAGCTCTACTAAAAATATCAGTTCCACTCTCTAGGAAAAGATTAGAGCTGTACAGCTCTAGAAACTTCCTCAAGAGGACTTCTTTGTACTTCCAGCAAGAAAAATGCGTCTGATGAGAGTGTGTCTTCCTCATATTCGAAGCAGGAACAAAATTTTGCAAACGATCCTCATAGAAACTTTGATGTCCACTCACTCGTAGTCTTTGTTCAAATTATCGCTAAGTACAACGGTTTTTGTCTATCGCTAATTATTTACACTGAAGTATGACCAAAGCTGTTTTTGTATGCCATGTTCCAAATAAACTAACACTGACCTTTGCGAAGAGTTTGAAAAAATGTCATTTTATAAGACTAATGCGCTTCGGTTTAGTCTTTAGAATTAACTCTGATGTTTCTCCTAAGTTCAAGCATGTGCGGTATTTTTCAATAGTCACTTTCAAAGGAATGGGTCTCTTAGGGTGTACGTCCTTATCTAGAGGGGTATGGGAAACAAAGGCTCGTACTAAGCTTTTTCAAAACTAGAAAATCACCACTCTGCACTACGATTCGATGTCATTGCGCTGAAAAACCTAGCAGCAATGAGAGAGCGAGCATTTGCACGAGCGTCCGGTGAGAAATTTCCGAAAAACGTGCGCGTTTTCGAACGAAAGCGGAGATCAGCATGCCGAAGGTGAAGAATGGCAGGAACATCACGTGAACCGATGTTGTCATCTGTCAGATTATAAGATGCCATCTTAAACGACCTATAGAGGTAACATTCCTTCAGAGAACAAATTACGAACTTAACACGATAACTTAACTCAGCTCCTGACTACTTTTCGTACCGAAATTTACCAATGGTACATCCTAAGAGCATTATTTGCACCTCTATAAGTGATTTCTGGAAAGTGCAAAATGGTCCACCATTGCGCTACCTCCGAATCTAAGAGCAGCCACATTAGTAAAATAAAACGCTTCTCTCATCCTACCAAAAGGAGGTGCAAGCTCTCATCATGGTAGAAATTCTAAGCCATAATAAGCTGTGATATGTCCAGACATATGTCATGACAAATTAGTGGCATTTCATGCCTGCAAAGGTGCTGCATTGACGTCCTGGATCACCTCAAGGATAATGACTCACGATCGAATCACCGTATAACCATCTTTCAAGTCATTAAAGCTCCAGTACTGTATTCAAGAAAGTAACGGTACCTTCCCATTGCAGTTAAGATACTTCCGATACGATATAACTAAAGTATCTTTGGTGGAACTGAAATCTAGCCTTCTAAAGTCGTAAAACATCAGAATGTAGCTCTCTATCTCAATGTAGTGCTGAGACAGTGCACGCCCCTCAGAGAATCGGCAATAGGGAACTCGTTGCTGTTATTACTGGGTGCATCGGTGGAATGAGAGTGCAACAGTTGCAGCCTAAGAGAGCGAGACCTAACCATCTTCACACAAACTTAACGGCCCAACAAACATGGCTTTTTGGAGCGCGGAGAGTTGATCGGCGACTCGAGTTCGACAGGGGGGGGCAAAGGCAGCAGCTAGACGCAGCGCACGAATCGCGCGGTCTTTCTAGCTCGTCTGCAGCCTTCGTCGCCGCTGCTGTCGCGCATCGCGCACATTTCAGGCGCGGCGGTGCTTCAAGTGCGCGCCTGGCGTTGGATTGAGAATGGCATGTTAATCGTCAAGGTCGGTACGCGTTCGAAACGATCAGCCCCAAGAGAAAACCGAGAAGGTCAACGCACTTGCGTGCGCGCTGCCGACCGCACCCTCTCTGCTCTCGCAAATAACACACGTCAATGGGATCTGCTGTAGCACGGCCCGAGAAGTACAGCACGCTGGAGACACACTGTCACGACCTGGGCGAAGACGAGCGTCATGCGACAACTTTTTGCCTCGTTGGCATCTGGGGACAATGCCAGCAAATGCTGGAACCACCAAGCTACTACAGTACTTTGACACCAAATCGGCAAAAAAGAAAAATGATGCCCGACTGTGATGATGTGATTTGCCTGATCCTGGAAATTATTTGCACATTGCAACTTTCGCCCCATGTACTTAAGCAATAGAATATCAAATTATATCAAATTCCATTCATTCTTGTCCTTCCTGCTGATATGACTAAAACAAGCCCAGTGTAACCTAATCATCACTTGTGCTGTCGAACAAGTCCTTAAAACGTTGTACAGGCTGAGCAATTGCGTAACTTGCAACTCAGATAAATCGCACCGGTCATTAACCTCTTAACGCTCTACAGTAACGAAATGAACACTTAAATTATCCGAAGAATCTAATGCATCCGAAAGCAATTTCGGAAACCTATCAAAATGCGGCAGCTGTCACATTATATGAATTTTTCCGCGCAACCCAGCGCCTGTGAAGCTGGCAAGATATCGGGCAGCTGGTTATAGCGCGATAATCGCGATCGCATTGAAAAAGATAATGTTGCGAATAGCCAGCAATCACTAACTCTGGACTTTAGCACTTTTATTATAACGTAAAATGGAAATCCGCAGCAAAGTGCCTTGCATGAGAAATTAAGGTCAGCTATCAGTGTGTGCAGAGAGTATCCTACCGGCTGCGTCACTGCTGAAGGCAGGAGAACTGGCAACTGACTCATCAAACGGAATGTTACAACGCATTCTTCCTGAACGGTTCATTCGGTTGCAAAAACTTCAGAAAAAAACGATTTACTACAGTGTGAAAGATTGTTTGATCATCAGAGGTGACTGTTTGATGTTTGACCGCTCTGAGAAATGTTTGACAACGAATTTAGGGCAAAGAACTCTTGGAAAAGAGAGTATTTTGTAGTAGCGTTTTCAAAATCTAGTCGTGACTCACTCGAATTGTTTGAGAGCAGCATATTGGAATGAAAAATGAGTTCTACACTTTATTATTCTTTAGTGAATGGAGCATGGCAACATCGTTTGAAGTACCAAGTCCTCAACGAGAGTTATTATGCCTGGAAGAGACTGTACATCCAGAAGTGGAAACAAAAATTTATATAATTCAATCTGAACTTCTTTCAACAACTTATTTGTACCTTGTTTTGGAAAAATATGTCTAAGCACACACAAAGCGTACGTGCACTACACATTGTGGTGGAAAATCGGGATTCCCAAACTAGCTTAACATCAATCAACAATTTTTTGGAGAATAATGGACACCTTGATGTTTTTTCCCACAAATCCAGAAAATTTATTTTCAACTCTTGCTCTGCTGGTGCGCGTTTTACAAATCATTAGCTTGTTTCAATCCGTGCGCTTTGTGCTGATACCAGCACCATACCGAAAAAAAGGTCAGAAAAAACAAACCACAATGAAATGTTAAAAGTGGCTATCGCACAGATCGTAATTGGATCTTGCAGCGTTTCTTTTCTTACGAAAATCAGCTAGTGCAGGTTTTGAAGCGATTTAGCGTGCTGTGGCTGCTTTTGTTGTTGATGTCGATTCGTTTTTGTGGTGAATGAAACGGGGATACATGACAAGGATCCGGGAGCGCTTACACCATCAGCATTCATCTTGCATGCGCGAATTATCCAGAGCACGTTTTTTTTTCATGGAGAGCTGGGATGTCCCTGTTTGGGGCGAATAAAAAATCTGCTTTGTCAGTTTGCTTCAAATTGCGCTGCTCTTACGGCGACGTAGAATTTTGACGAAGGCTTTCCCTTTTCTCGGAAGAAGTCGTGGATCCCGTTCCATGCCAGGCGTGCTTGACCAGACCATGTCCGAATCTTGGATAATCCGTCAATGTGTCTATGGCAGCAATCATAAATCATTTCCAAACACGATAAGCAATGGGAATTTTACAGAAAAAACTCTCTTTCTCGGCGTTGGCTTGCCTTCACCTCAGTTCCTAACTTTTAGAGAGCTCTTTCTCGGCTGTCAAAGTGCGCCCTTGCTTCCAGAATACTTAAATCCTTCGTAGATAAAGTGCGCTTGCATTCACTTTTCTACTTTCATGATAGAAACATTTTATAGCAAGTTAAGGCGGATTATATATGTAAAGTGAGAAGACATGGTAGCAAGTGTGTGTGTACAGCGATAACATCGTTTCGTAATAACAATCTTCCTAAAACTGTTGTGTTTCCCCATAAGGAGGGACCGTAGAAGAAGTGGGTGGCATCGACATCTTTTCTTCAGTGTACCTATAAAGCGTGACAAATGACGATATGAAAAGAGGAAGCATCCGGATCGCTCTCTTTACTACATACATTAGGTAGAGCAGAAGACAAATGGGACTTTTTGTCATTGCATGCCTTCTTCATGACTTTGCCAGTTAGCTTAGTTTGTACTGGGTGTAAACAATCAAGAATGATTGAAGACATGACATCAAAGAGCTTATTTGGTGGTTGTTCATAAAGGAACATCTCCTCGAATTACTTACCCGGGCTGAGGGACAGGTTGGGCTATTGGCACGCGTTCATCATTACGACCGTCAAGACGTTGGTATTTGGTGTTGCGTTGCATCTTAAGAAATAAAATGGTTTTTATGAGCCTAGTTGGTTCCAAACTTTCTGGCTATCACTTCAAGTTATGCATTTACTATTTCTAAATCTGATATTTTTAAATAATACGAAAGCAGACACTCTTGTCTCACCCCGCCCTAAATCTATGAACCAGCTAGCTCTACTTATTTCAAAGACTCAGACTAACAGAACTGCATCGTAAGTGAACTTTTGAAAGCCAACCGCATACGTTCTCTAATCGAATCATAAGGTAGGCAAAGACTTAAGATACCTGCCAAACAACTCAGCACCTGTGCGTTCTGGCAAAAAGATAAAACTTAGTAAAGAAAATTCTGTGTGTAACAAATCACCTGGTAGATAAGCATCCCAATAACAGCTATGGCAAGAAGAATACAAAGTGCCAAGAGTATCCACGTTACAGTCTGCCATGCAGACACGCCTGTTATTCTGTAAATTACACATTTCAACACAAAAACTTGCAAACAATAGAAACACGACAGTCTTTGAATGTTCGTTGCTCAAACGATGTTAGAACAACGAACATTTCCGACTTTTTGGCTACTCTTCAGTTTGTTTGGAATTAACGAAAGAAATGTGGAAACATTCACACCCTGTTTTGTGAAAAACTGTCATTGTGTGTGACACGTTCGACCTAAGCTACTTTGACCATGTGAATAGGCAACTTACTCATCTAAAACCGTTGCTTTTGGAGCTGCCATTGTTCCATTCAAGAGTGTACGATTTTCTGATAAGACTTTCTGTAGGGCCTTCTGAAAAAGTAAGATAAAGCAGAGTGTAAATCTCCGAAAATAAAGTTCTGAGAGTTCTGAGAAGCGCAAAAAAAGTATGCCTACCCTATCAAGAGTGCCCTGTATCTTATTACCTAGATCCATCACCACAGACGCTTTGACGCTATCTAACAACGCATTCTGTAAAGGAAACGTTATAGAATCTTATGTTAACAACAGCTGATACATACCGTGACATATTCCTTTAACTCAAGCTGTTTCTGTTGGTATTGCGCGTATTTGTCTCGCAGCTCTTGTTCACGAGCATCCAGATCATCCTTTCGTGCCTTTGATAATTAAAATCTAAGGTTTTTTTTTCTCATGAGCTATTCTCAGTACCATTATATCGCTCTTAATTTGATTCATTCTGTTCTGCAATTCTTGACGTTTTTGTTGCTGTTGCTGTAGACGTGCCGCCGCTTGCTGATCCACAATGGCTCTGATTTCGTTCATAGTCGCTTTCATACTTTGCAGCATCTGAATCATTGACCTTAGGCATCAAAAACGCAATTGGAGCGAAGCTGTCACCTCCTTTCTCCTCTCTTTTCTAATAGCAGCAGATTGATTCAGTCTTGCTTGTATCTCTCCGAGTTTGGTTTTAGCGTCATCCCAAGCTTGACTTAGTAGCTAGAAAAACTATCATGGGAATTGTAAGAAAAAAACTATTTCCTACCTCTTGTTGCCTCTGCCTTTGGGCATCACTTTCTTGCTTTTTCTGTTGATAGGCTGTTCTAAGCTGCTCTAAGACTTGACGTATATCCTATGAATCAAGACATTCGCTATTAGCAATAGTAAGCCTCGACCCGTACAATAAAAAGAGAACGAAAAAATTACTTGTTGTTGTTGATCCACTTGCTTCACTTCTTCCTCTTGCAACGCTATTTTCGTCTTGTTCAATCCGCTAATGAGATTTTCCCATTCTTTGGTAGCTTGCTGCTTTTGCGCAGATTCTTCAGCATTGTAACCCTGTGGTTAAAACCTAACTGAAGTGATACTCATCAAAATTTCAACATACCTGTTGAATGTCCTTCAGCCTATTAATTCGTGCACCTAGGAGATCCCTAACTCTCTGCACTGAGCTGTTAAGGCTTTTCACAAAGTCTTCTCGTAATTGTTGCTCTTTTTGCCTAAAATTATTAGAGCACAAATTCTGAAGATAAATGAGTCTTGAAGTCTTAAATACCCTGCTTATTAGGGCGATAGCGATGAAATATGGAATAAAGACTACACATTCGCCACACCCAGTTACATTTTTGCTTTTAGAATAGCTTTCGAATAGACTTATATATATCGGAATATGAAGCAGCTAATTGATCATCAGAGACTATCTGATCAAGATACTAATACATAAATAAAAATAAATTTGCGAAGTATGACTGTAATCTGTAAAAACTCACGTTGCCGAAGAAATGTCATTTTTTATTTCTTCTTCCAGCGAACGGTCAATTTCGAGTATGGACTGAAGTTTATACAACATCATTTGCTTCTATGGACAAGAAAAAAAGAATATGAATGAATTAAGGATTCTACGAAGAAAACATACGTTTATCAATGTCTTGGCGTCATCTTGTCCATTTGTAACAGTCCATGAAATAAGCAAGCAAAACGCAACCAACACCTTCATCTGAAAATCATTTGTAACGTAAGAATTCAGAAAAACGAAGAGTGCACGCTACTTCCACGCAGTGCCAGGAAGGATAATGGAAACCATATCAAATCAAGAATGCCAAAGGATAGATAAGGCAGGTTATATGCTTCTGTTTATTGACAAAAACCCTTAACAAGATAGTGCAATTTTTCGAAATACTCCCTCTTCAGAGCCTCTTAAGTGCCGATCTTCGAGATTAGCAGAATAATAGTCTTATCACTTGCAGGAAAACACCACAAGAAGTTGGAAAAAATTGCTGTCAACCTTAAAAAGATGTAAAAGCATCTCGAAATGCCAAGATCAGACAATATAGCAGTAGAAAAATGAAAATTAGGCTTGATAAATTAGGCATTAGAATACATATTTACCATTAAACGTAGGAAATTATAGTACGACTTTTCGCTTCGTGGCCGCTTCTAAGACAGTACAGGTGAAGCGTGACAGCAGTCGAATTCTCGAGATAATTCTTCGATTTATTGGCAGCTCATTGGCAAGGTGGCTACTTCTCAATATTACGAAAGGGATTATGGAAAAAAGTTATAAATATATGCCAGCTGTACGAAAAACACTAAAAAGTTCTCAAAAACTACAAAACGGGGGTCGATGTACTTTTTACTTCTGTCGTTAGTGGTAAGTACAATCCTCCAAAAATTTTCTTTCAAAGAACTGAATTTTCTTCAGCTGTGATGTTGACCTCTTAAAGAACATTGTATTAACAATTTCAAGTACTGACGAAACGTTTATTGAAATGAAAGCAACCAGCCACTTAATTGCTGCTTAAGAAGACAATACAGCACTTCCACCTACGCCATTATTACTGAACATTCGAAGTTAAACAATTCCAAAGAATCTCAAGGGTTACGAAGAAAAACAGTAATATAAGTCTTACGAATAACCAGACCTACCAATAGAATGACGAGGTTTTGAATAAGGAGCAAATGACTATGTTTATTAGATAAACTGCAATGGGTAAATGTGTTTCGCTTTGATAGCCTATCTATTGTACTATATCAATTTGCTGGAAGCGCCATGATGCTTTGCTCCGCTACCGATGTTTACATAGAAGAGGTCATGTTTTCTGACATTATCTGCTGATAAATTTTCCACTGTTGCCGTTTCAAACTAAACTGCGAAATAGTACTTCTGCAACTGACCGATGGATGTAGGGTTGGGGTAAGGGAAAATAGGAAACTATGAAGTTTGAGAAAGCATTCCCAAGCGATACGGCTCACAAACGCGAAAGTAAAGACTACGTAGCGTAGAAAAGGCAAAACTCAATATATTTAACTAGTGTCGCTTTATTTTATATGCAGTGGTTGAAGCTAAAAAAATTTCCCAAATATTAATCCGCCTTCTAAAAACGAATTAATTCTCACACACTAGGAGAACAAATACAGACATATTGGAATGTCCGAAATGACAAAAGAGATGACGACAATGACTAACCTTTTAATTCTGTACTACACGTGATACTAATCTTATCTTATATGTTTGCTAGGGCACAAAGATAATACACCACACATCGACGAAATCACAAACTCCACGATGAGGAAATCTGTTCCTCGTTCTATAGTTTCTAAATCGCGAATCGCTTTTGATATGCAAGGGTAGAGCTGATGCACGCAAAAATGTAAAGAAATTTTTACTATAGCACACCTTAGGAGGTTGAGTTCGTCAGACGTTTTCATTCGCATCTTCTTCCATGCTTTCTCCCAAAGAAGTTTTGGGTGAATCAGATCTACATAGATTGTTCAAGCAGTACAAACATATCAGCTGCATTGATCTACCATACAAATATGGGTTGGAATTCTTAACCTACACAATTTGGCTCAATGGTTGCCCAGCTGGACGCTCTTGGTCAATGTTGCTTTTTAGCAAAAAGTTCCAACTGGAAAGAAGTTATGGCTCTGATCCAACCCATCGTCTACCTAATGGTACATCAATAGAACTACAGTCTGGAACAATGTGATGTAAAACTATAAACCGAAACAGTGACCGTCTATTGCCCTCCGAATTGTAATCATCATCCCCTCCACTGGTCTAGTATCCAAAACTCCTTTTGAATTTGAAAGCGAGAACACACATCTCCTGAATTCAGTGACTTCTATGCCTGGTACTTTCCTCAGTAAAATTGTAAGTACCAGATTGAAGTTATACTAGTAAGCAGTTATGCAAAATCGAGATTTACCCTCACGTCTTCTGAAATGTGTAGACCCCGACATCCTTGGTTAGGCTTGCTACATTTTTAGGATCCTTTGTCACCCTTGATGTATACTATAGTAGTAACTCCATGACCTGCATCCAGTCTTCTAAGTAACAGGTAGTAACTTCCGCAAATAATTTTAAAGATGAATTTTACACATTGTACACCTTGTGCAGGGACATGCATAAACGATTTGTGAATCGAAGAATTTATGCACATATTTTTCTGATGATTTTACAACCAGTAATTGAACAGAATCTTCATTTTTCAGTGCACGTGAAAAAAATCCGATGATTAATTACTTAAGCCCATGCACATAGCATTTCAAAGCATAAGAACGCCTGCTATTCTCACGAAAACGCCTGCAATTATATCTTCGCAGATCCCAAAGCCAACCTACGATACTCTATGGAAAGAGCAGAACTATTCGTATCAGTTCAGTAGCCGAAATTCTATTGGATCCAATAATAAATTCTCGCTAATATGGCATGAACTCAGAGTTGTTATGCAACAGAAGTTGACTTTAGACAAAACGACTACAAACTTTGAATATGTCTCCCTCATACAACAACGATATGCCATAAATTTTTTATTATCATTCTAGACCATAGACAAACTTATTATAATTGGTTTAATACACTGTTTGATATGAAGAATATGAAGAATTAGTAAGTGTACATCTATACAGTGGTAAACTTGGTGTTCACATTTGCCGCGTGCCGTAGAGTTGTTCGTAGTTTCGCTTCTTTGACATCTGGAAAACATTTAGAAATCACATTTCTTATGACGTCAACAGTACCCTACCATCCACATCAGCATTCCAATAAGCATGAGACCAAGGATTATACTGAGACCCAGTAGAATCCATGTCCAGGTCTGCCAAGTAGTTGCGTTAGACCTGCAACAGAAGCACTTTCACAATTAACAAGTGGAATAAGCAAAGCTGGTGGAAGCAATCAAGAAATGAAATTTTCGACTTCATTTCAACCGCAGCCAGGCTTCATTATCAAAGCTCTCCATGCCTATAGTCCCTGTAGTCTCCGTATCCATACATAGGGTACGAAGGGTACCCTGTGTTAGCGTAGTTCGGGTAAACTGTGTGAGCCCTGGGCGATGCCATAGCCACGGGTTTCTTCTTTCCAAGCATAATATTTTGGAGACGTTCCTGAAGCTAACAAAGGTAAAATCTGCTCCGAAATGAAAGCTATGGATTCTCACTTTTAGTCCATATCGAACTCGATTGATCTCGTCACGGATTCTAGCTATTTCGGCCTCCGCATTGTATCTCTTTACACTGCCAGATTCTTGAGACAATTGACTCTGCGCTTCAGTCAAAGCTCCTTCCAACTCATTTAATTCCTGTTCGCTTCTCATGTTTGCATTGGTTTCGTCCAAATAAGGTCGAGACTGAGCCATCATCTAGGATGATACCAAGTACAGTAATTCAGATTTGGTACTGGTACGGTAGCAGCCCAACAAAGGATCTGTTTGCTGACATGCAAAGGATGTTAAACGGGATACCTACTTCCTTCAATTTGTCTCTTTGAGCAGATCCTCCTCTTCCCATGTGATTTCCCATAGAATTCATCCTGCGATTATCCATTTTAATAATTTTGTCGTATAGCTCCTTAGCTGCCTGGAATCACCACAAATCATAACCTAAACATACCCTCTCGTTTACCTCTTCAATGTGATATTTTCCTTCGTCGACATGCTTTTGAACCTCGCCATTGTAGCCAGAGTTTTTCGGATTCTGAACAGAACACCTTACAAAGGTAGCAAAATTTTTGAACATACCTGATAGACTTGTTGAGTATGAACAACTCCTATAATAGCGAAGACTACTAGTGAAAATCGTGACATGGTGAAGTGACTGCCTCGTGCAGTAGGATCACAGTCGTTACACCTTGTCAACAGTGTCGTGTTATCAGCATGTAGGAGGGACGTGAGTGATCGCCGACCGTCTGTGGTTAAGAATCAGCTGATTACTATTTGTCATGTTGTAGACTCTCATTACTCTGCTTTCCTGAGGAAAATCCTTTCAAGGTACCCGTAGCGGAGAACTTACAGTCTAGTAGATTTGACGGCAAATATGATATTGCTGCGACGCCGACAATATCGTGTGAAGTGGCCATAGGGCAAGAAAACCAAAATACGTGCTCTATGGCTATTTTGTACGCGCGAGTTGTCAGCAGCACAAGCACAGTGAATTCCGCTCAAGTGTTGTTGACTCCGCAAAGGCACTATTTCAAAAGCCGGACCTACTAGACTGTACATCGTCCAGATTATCTCGACCAGGTCTGAGTACCGCTATGTTTCGGGGTGAAGGGAGAGCGGGTATGTGCCACCAGATCTTCTGAGACGAGATGGCTTCCCGACGAGGTAAGTCCTTGTATAGCAGCTCCCATTTTCACGAATTTTGTGCAACTGCAACACTTCGAAATGCAGTGTAACAAGTTAGAGGAGGTGGTTTCTTTGCATGGTTAAAGAAACAGTAGCGAAAAAAAGCACAGATACCCCAGAAGGTGAAAAAGGACCAAGCTTTGACAATTGTATCCTATCATTGCAAGACAAGTCTTGCAACTCTGATTTCAGAAAGTGTATAGGTGTGAAAACAAAAACGGCAAGCTCAAGCCTCTGGCGACGGACCCTAAAGCCTTGCATTATGACGGTAAAGGGCTTGAAGGCAGCGATTCGGCAGAAGGAAAACTTTAGGATATTCATCGTTCTCGGCTCCCCTGGATGAGCTAAGTCCAAGACTGTGCTCTGCAGCTTCAAAGTATTAAAAACCCGCTTTTCTAGACGTGAGAATTGCTACTTGGACGGACCGCTTATGCCTGCCCTCTAGAGCGCGATTGGCTCGTGAGTGGAGACACCGCCTACCGTACCTATGCGCCAATCGCGCTCTAAAAGGCAGGCATACGGGGTCCGCCCAAATAGCACTTCTCACGTCTGGAAAGGCGGGTTTTTAATATCTTTTGAAGCTGCAAAGCACATTCTTGGACTCAGCTCATCCAGGGGAACCGAAAACGATGAATATCACAAAGTTGTCATTCTGCCGAGCCGCTGCTTAAAAGGCAATGGCTGGGGAAAATTGCGAGTGCGAGCTTTTCGCACATAAATAGCCTTCTAGATCCACTAAGCCCGAGACTTTTGTGCTTGAAAAGCCAAAAAAGTGTTTTTTTGGGAATTTTCGGCTTTAGAGATTGCTAAGGGGCTGCGTAAGCGATTCCCGCTAAAAACAGCGAATGGCTGCAGAATACTGTAACTGCACCCGTTTTGGCGGCAATTGGCTGATCGGCTCAGGCAGCCAATCGCGACTCAGTTGGCGATCGCTCGCCCATTTCCAGCAATCTCCAAGACCGGAAAACGCCATGAAAAGCACTTTTTCGAATTTTTATACGGCCCTGGATTCAGCGCATCCAGAAGGCCAAAGGGATGGAAAACTCGTAACTGCAATTTTCCCGAGCCACTGCCTTTGAGTCTATAGCTGTTGAGTCAGCAAAGCTCACGATTTCGTCAGTATCTGAAAGCATCTGAACGAGTGATCAGATTTCACTTTTCGCAGAAGCTTTGCTTTTCATCCCCAATGTCGTGAAAAGTGCAAGCAATACAACAGCAAAGAAATCTTCCCGAGAATAAAAAACCTACTTAGCTTCGAGGAATAATGCTTGTACTCTTGTGATAGATTTCCGACACAAAGTGAACTGATTATCTTATGGAAATTTCTGGAATCTCTTCCAGAAAGTTTTGCATTCGCTATCAAGTGGACACGTGGCAAGAAAATCTAACATATAGCACTTTGTGCCAAGGGTCCCACAAGTAAGTGATTTCGAACTTTACCCCGCTGGAGAAGTGAAATGGGTGGCGTCTTCAAAGCTTCTGGCAGCGCTTTCAACTTTTGACTTTACTGGCTTTGAGATTTTGCTAAACACCTAGCAAATCTGTAAGCGAAAAGAACCGAAGTAACTGGTGTTCATTCCAGTTCTTCATAAACACTCTAGCACAGCTCCTAGTCACAAAGTTTCCAAGAAGAATGTCTCAGTGAGTTGACAATTATTGTTCTTCGCTCACTCAATCGTACAAATTGTTGTTTGAGAGTCCTATAAGACTCGTGAGAGCACTTCCGTCAGACTGATAAGGACGTCTGCATCTGATCGAAGCCAGGAACGTAGGAGAGACTCATAATTCCGGTCTGTCATGAACGGGAGCTGCTAACATGTGAGAATGTATTTGAGTAGTCGTACTAAGCTGAAATTTCGAGTAATTTTCAAATTATTTTCCAGGATCTACGACTATCCCATCTTCTGATAATGGAGCACCTTCTCATTCATCGGAATTCCAAAATCAGAATTCCTAAGAGATCCTAAATTGACATGGGCTTTCTCATACTCGAACTGCATTCACCTCGCCAGAATCAAAAATTCTCTTCAATCATTAGCCATGTTTTGTTCTTACTGAGTTCTTCTCTGTATGTATTAGCATCTACCTGATTGAATAGCGACAGGCTTTGCCGTAGTTTCCGTAAGTCTTTTTTGATGCGAGACGTAAAAGACTCCTAACACGAAAGGCTAAAGCGCGGTTTACTGTAGTAGCGATGGGCGCAGCTTACTGTACTAATACTGAGTGCGCCATACGGCTCCCGCCAGAGTGCCGAAGTTATGCCAGCGCTACGCCAGCATTTCGATCGATACACGTGTATTTCGTTGGGGACGTCAGCTAGCCCCGCCCAACGAAACACACGTGTATCGATCGAAATGCTGGCGTAGCGCTGGCATAACTTCGGCACTCTGGCGGGAGCCTACGGCAGCGCAGCCTATGGCGCCGCGCGCATCGGCACCACTTGACATCCCATTTGCTCTAAAATCTTTGTCCTGTTCGTCTCGTTTGTCAAACTCTTTCCTTCAAGTATAAGAAAAACTTGAAGAATCAATTCGTTGAGCGTTAGCCGTTCGTTACTTCCGCAAAACTCGTTGCTTGGTCGGCACAAATAGGAACACTAGTCTCTCTAAAAGTTCGAAAATGTTGTTCCAATGATTTTCCGGTCTCCGCAATTTCCTTTATCCACGAAAAGCAAAGATCTTCACCTTTACAAAGGATCCCAAGATAACCACTGCTCCCTCACTCTGTTCTGCCTCATCGCAATCAGTGCCTTGTTAACTGCAAGTAGAATGAGAAGCGCAAAATGTTATGTAACTCAAATGCAGCCGTCATGCTCATCATCACTGAAGAGGCGTGAGCCTCCATGCTCTGTGAAATGGAACTGAAGGAATAGCATAACTGAACAGCGAGGCACCGTTCAAAAATGCCGTAGAGCAAGTTGATGACCGACAGCACACAGCACCGCCCCCCTTTTTTACGCATCTTCATTTTTTTTGTTTGCTTTCTAGCTGCCTCTTCATATCTTTTTTAGGCTTTCTAACAAGGATTCCAACATTCTGTCAAGAAACTTCCAACCGACGTGTGGACACTCAGTAATTAGATCTGCTACACTCCGAAAAAAGTTGCGCGCTTTACCAAACTCAACGATCAGCAATCCTAACACGACACAAAATTGTACTCTCAACCTTCATTTGTTTAACGATAAATGGCTTCACAATAATTATGGATTTATCGGGAACAGCAAAGACATGCTCGGCATAAATATAAACACAACAATGACTATATTGGAGAAAGTTCGTCATAGGAGTAAAACACCAGTTGGATGCGACATACTTACAACACCAAACAACAGATCCCCATGTTTCGAGAGCATAAAGCGGTCGGAAGGAAAAAGGATAGAACAACAAGAGTCACAGATGAAACAACCATTACAGAGCTGATCTGGTTTTTTTTTTGAGCTTAATGTTCAACAGAAGCTCACGAGAACGTTCTTAAGCAGCGAATTCGTCAGCGCTTTCCGTATCCTTTGTGTACTCGGCAGCAAAGCGACGGAACTTCGATATGAGAGCATCTACAGGAATCTCTCCGCGAACCTAGAAATCCATTTCTTCCCTTCATGTCGAACCACAAATCCAGTGAAAACAGACCGCATTATCCCTTGTGCGTACATTCACGGTTCCATTTTCTTTTTCTTTTGCTCCAACGACAAGGATGAAATTGAACTGTGCTAGCTGGGCGTTGCGAATTTGCTTGTTCAGTGTGTCTGGACAGCCTTCATCAAACTCGACCTCAAAAACAAAAGAAACATTCAGAACAGCCAAACACCGCGTATGGGATCCTACCTCGAATCCTTCGCCGTACAGCCTGTTCTTAACATCTCTGGCGTACGCGTTAACAGATTCATGGACAGTGATGACTTTCGCCTAAAAGTCACCATCGCAAATTGTTACAAAGCAATTGGCGAATGGCAAACCTGACGAGGTGATAGCCAGAATGGCCACTTTCCGCCATAATTCTCGGTGAGGATGGCTGTCATGCGCTCGATGGATCCGAGTATGGCACGATGAATCATGACCGGGCGCTGCTTCTCACCCTTCTCGCTGCAAGTGAATATTACGTCAGATAAAGATGTCTAGGATAGTTTAATTGTTCAACAAAAAATCATACATACTCGAAATAACTGAGATCGAATCGCTGGGGCAACTGGAAATCCAGTTGGATTGTGGCACACTGATGATATCGCCTCATTGCGTCTTGGATAGTAATGTCGATCTACAACCAGAGACTATTATGTTAAATGAATGTTTAGAAATTCTTAAAACCTTGGGGCCGTAGAATGCTCCATCTCCTTCATTCAACCCCCACTGCCTTCCAGATTCATTGAGTACATCTTTCAAATCAGCTTCAGCCTCATTCCATGTCTGCAACAAGGCTAGTAAGACAGCACGTCAGAATCATTCAAGCATACCGAAATCTCTCCAAGGAACCCTTCGGGTCGGGTAGCAAGATTGAGTTTGAAAGTAAATCCAAACACCGTTTCGTAACAATACGATAGGAAGTCAAGGCATCCCTGGAAATGAACGTAAACTTTGCCTTTGAAAAGTGTCTTTATGACAAGACGAGATACCAACCCTAATTTCATCGCTAATCTGATCCTTTCGACAGAATATATGGGCATCATCTTGTTGGAAACGGCGCACACGCGTCAGACCAGTGAGAGCTCCAGACATTTCATTCCTACAGGTATGTACGAGTAAATGAGTGAGTCTCTTTGATTAAATAATCATGTTGAGAGGAACGAATACTTCACCTAATCTTGCAGAAAATAAACGCTGACATCTCACAATTTGCGCAGTCAATGACATTTTTGTTGAAAAGAGACGAGAAGCTTCTCAGAACGCGTGGAAGAACAAAAAAATGACTACGTTAGTCTTCAACCATACAAAACCCAAAATATGAACTGCCCACGAGTATTTTCCGTATTGCAAGTAGATAAGCAATCAAAACGTACACGTAACATCAAACAGAAAATGAAACTGAGCAATTTCTTCAACATACCTATGCAAGACGCCAAAATCAGCGTAACGCATTGGCAATTCGTTATATGTGCGCGGTTGATGACTGTACATGAGACAATGTCCAGGGCAATTCATCGGCTTCAATCCAAACTGTTCCTTCTCGACTTCGAACCTTCAAAGACATGGTCTTTGTTAGCTTAAAATAGGAATGTGACAGTAACCTACCTGAACATGTCTTCAGAATAATGCTGCCAATGCCCAGATGTTTCCCACAACTTGCTATTGTACATATTCGGTGTGATGACCTGACAATCGAAACAATTTACTATTCTCCTATTACTGCTAATCTCCAAGTGCTGACCGTACCTCAGTAAACCCACGTTTTCGGTACTCTTTCCTCATGAAATTCATCAAGGTATTGTATATGTGTGCACCCTTGGGATACCAGAAAGCAGATCCAGGCGATAATGGATTGAAGAAGAACAACTCTTGTTCACGACCTAGTTTACGGTGATCTCGCTTCGCTGCTTCCTCCTACAAAAACTACTACACTGAGCCCGCTTTAAGGTATTACATACTATTTACATGCCTGTATTTTCTGCCACTCTTTGAGCTGTTTTGGATCTGGGAACGAGATACCGTAGATTCTTTGCAATGTCTCTGCGTCAGATTTTCCCTCCCAGTAAGAAGACGAGGATTTTGTAATCTGCATCGCCTAAAAATGAGCTTTTGAATAAAATGCTCAAAATATCGCAGATCATGAAGTGTATGTCGGTCAATGGCGAGTACCTTGATTTTTCCAGTATGTCGCACATGGGGCCCTCTACAGAGATCAATAAGTGGTCCACAACGGTAGACAGTTGTTTTTGGGACATCTATCTTCTCTTTGATGATACGCAACTGAACAATTACTTCTGGTGAACAAGAATTTGAGAAAAAAATCTCAACTGAAGCAAAGCTTACTTTGAATTCATTGTATTTGAACATCTCCTTGAGATCTTCCTTTGAAACTTCCAATCTCTCGAATGGCTGTTTGTCCTGCAAAAGCTGATTTTATAACAAAAAAAATTACTTTAGTATGAGAAAAATCCCACCTTAACTGCGCATTTGACAATCTGGTCGAGCTTTGGGAAATCTTCTTGTGAGATTGTGCAATTCTGAAGAGCAAATGAAAATTAAAGACTACCATTATAGGAGCAAACGTACGTCATGCCACATGTCATAATAAAAACCCTCAGAAATTGGAGGACCGTAACAAAGATGTCCACCGCAATAACGCTCCATTGCCTCACCAAGAACGTGGGCGGAACTATGCCAGAACACCTTCAATAATTTTTAAACAAAGAACCACCGTGATACGCAAGAGTTCAACCTACCTGCTTTGCTTCATCATCATCGAATTTCAACAAAACCAGGGTAGAGTCTTTCTCAAGTGGGCGATCCAGATCCCAAACCTATATACGAGCTGCAAATCCGGAAAAGAAGAAAAAAAAGATGTAGCATACCTCTCCATTTACTTTAGCGATGACTGTAGTGTCAGCCAGGCCCTTGGAAATTTTCTCCGCAATGGATATCGGCGTTGTACGCCATGCCTGCCCATCAAACTGCTTGCCATCCGGAAGGGTTATTTTTATTGGTGTCGGGTCCTAAAAAATATATCAATGCAATCGGTGAGTACGCCTAAGCGTTATACTCAGAAAGGACGCGTTTTTCAGAAAAGACACCTTTCTTCTACTCAGAATTTGTACTAAAGTGCAGTAATAAAGAACATGCGACATAGCAACAAACTGCCTGCTTAATTCCCCGTAGTTCGCCGGTAACCTAATTAAACGGCGGAAAGTACAACTGAAGTATGTTCCACATATAGAGAAAAAACAAATACAAAAACTAATGTAAAAAGTGCGATCTGTACGATGGTTTGACAGCTATACAGTTTCCGTGTTGCCTAAAATCACCAAAACACCTATCATAGGAAGAGAGGAACATAACCTTCTATAGGAAAAAAAAACTAGAAAATAATTGCCGCACTGACGCAAAATGATAATTGCAAAGGATGTGATAGTACTCAGTACTGCAGCCCCAAGTCCAGAACCATTCTACTTCGTTACTTCGTTTTCACTGATGCTCTACATAAGGCAAGATATGAAAGAGTAAAAAAATTATTCGGTTTAAAGAACACTTCCTCAACTGCAGACCAACCGCTTGTAACCATTTAGTAATCGAGCATCAATGAAGTTTCAAAGTTGACACGAGCGCAGTAAAGCTCAGTCAATTACAGAGAACGCTCAGTATATAAAAAATAAAAAATTCGTCTCATCGGAACAAAAAACCACACCTTGGCCGCGATTTCAGCTTTGTACTCAGCCATCAGCTTGTCCCACATATCAATGCGCCTCTGTATAAAATCAGGCCAAGGATTCATCTCTGTTGGCGCCATTGACATCTTGCTCTGCAAAACAACTTCTATAGAGAAGTACTGAAGCAATTCAGACAAATACTACCTCTTTCTGAATTGGAATATTCTCCTTTAAATCGTCAGCAACCATTTTCACTTTGACAGTATTCGCTCCAAGATATGTGCTCTTTGAACGATTAACAGGCGCAATACGTCTACCTATTAGAACGGATACTGCACGAACAGAGTTCGTTGTTAGACCCAATGTGAGGATCAACCTGGATATAGAATGCAAATAAGCAGTGAAGACTCACCGGCAAAGAAACAGTATGAATTAAAAGTATCAGAGGCGCCTGCACTGACGAATAGCTAGTTAGAGGGTGCGTACAACATGGACTGATGTGGAAAAGCCGTAAACGCAGGAATTGCATCATGGTGAGGCAACACCAGATGACGTAACGGTTTGGTTTAGAACGCTTACTCATTCACTTCCTGCTATATATTTTATGATGATAGAAGAAAACATCATGGGACTAAACAGAGACACTCAATTTTTTCCTCTGAGTGATCGATTGCTATGATTAGGGCTGGGCAAGTGCACTTGGAGAAAAGAAGCATAAGATTACGGAGTAATTAGTTAAGGCTGCATGCTATATCTACGTGAAGATGCTATCTGATACAAAAAAAGAACAAAAAGCTGAATATCTGAGATATATGTTAACAAATTAGAACGTAAAGTTCCGAGAAGTTTTGAAAAATTGACGATTTGACTCCGCAACCACGACAATTGATCCTACGTCGCAACAATTACGCACACAAAGTGCAAGACAAGCTTTAGTTTTCCTATTCTTTTATGTCGCGCTCAGTTGATTTAGGGCTGCGATTTCTTTGCTTATACTAATCTTACTGCTTTCATTCAGAGTAATTTAAAAATATCCAATCTTATTATGTACCAAGGATATAAGGGTGTATGCGGGCGTGTCGTAGGAAAGAATGTGCCGCGCAAATTAAGTTTTGAAAAACTGAACCGACAGGTTGCGCGCAACTGTTTTTGTTCAAATGTACTTGGCAGAGTCTAGGTCAGAAATAGGACACGGGTGTAATAATTTTTGTGCCTTATCCTTAGTTAAATGGATTGATTTGTCATACCTGCTTCTTTGGTGTGAATTGTTGGATGTTGGAGGTCCAGTTCGTGGTTTCTAATAAAAAAACCTGTGATTTGACACTGAGAAGGATATCAGAATGCAAATTCATTTAGAGTGCCGCTTACAGTGTGGAAACATCCAAGTTTCGGTGGATGCCTGTTTCGTTGAGTTACTAAGAAAGCCGTTATCAATAAAAGTACAGTTTATTGGAACTGGTCAGTTGTGCAATCCATTTCTTTTGGCATATATGTTGGTAGGCAATCATTTCCACGTGGCCGATTCTAACACCGAGAACGACAGTCAGCGAAGCTGTAATAAGCTCATTCTGCTCCATAAACATAAATGTTTCCATTGCCTCTCTTATCGCACCCGTGTATCTCAACTGTTGTTCACTCGCAACATCATTCCAGATAGGATGGGTACGTACTTCAACGGGGTCACCGCTGCCCTTCGGTTCGCTAAGGACTACACGATAGCAGCGGGAGCCTATCTTCTTGCCAGTAAAGCACACAAGTAAGTAATTTAATAATTTAATGTTCTTCCTTGTTTCTTTTCCTTTTTGTATCTCTACGTAAATCGCTCATGGCGTGCTCATAGTTACTGCTTCATTAACGGGCGTCGAAGGTCAAATTCAAAACCATTGCTGAAACTGCCGATGGGAGCTAATTGCACCCTGATTATTAGCATTTTGATTACTTGTTGTATATTGTAGCACGTAGGCTACCGTGGGTACGCGGCAGATGGAGAAAATCTCAAAAGGCACAAAAATTTGTCTGGAGCCATTGAGTATGCCGATGAAACTTTTGGCATCGGTAGCTGATCCTCCAAGAATGCTTCCATAAATACCATCAGCGTGGTTGCTTTTCGATCGTCTTAACACGTTAACTCCGGCAGATTTAAGACGCTTTTCTGAAGTTGGCATGTTGAAACGATTGAAAGGCAGCCACACTGATGGTACCTATGGGAACTTTTCTGGGAGGCAGACGATATATGGTGATCATATCATAATTGTAAGCTTCTGGAATTTTCTTAGACAAAGTTTCAAGCATATTTGAGATTTGACCCATCTACCGACTCATAGTAAACTCAGAATGGAGCTACCGTGCAAAATCTGTATGGTATTCGTGGTCACCATTCCAAGTGCCCTTTGGGCGAGGTTGGAATCGTGGTTTTGACTGCTTGCGCTTGATCATATGGACTAGCGTCACCTCTGTTGTCAAGCAGAAGACCTTGGAACTCATTTACAGCCGGTTTACATTTCTTCTCACCATAGAAACTCGTTTCCTGTTTCCTTGTCTTCCATCACTTCATAGATGTCTATGCGATAGAGTATTGCAGCCAATTTACTACTGTAATTGCAATGTCTCATCTCAGTTGCAGTTTCCAGGGCAATGCCCACACTTACGCCTCTAGAAGCTGTTTCACGCCTTAGTCCACTTGTTATTCGTATTCTTGGACAAAATCCTGGACCATTCACTCTGCAAGGCACGAATACATATCTTGTCGGAGCTGGTAAGAAGTTAGTGTTCGATATGACATCTGATTTCTTTTTTCCTTGTCTTTTAGAAATTTGCATAGTTGAGAATTTTAGGAAGATTCTGATCGATACTGGCGAACCGAACATCAGTGAATACGTCACTCTGCTTAGAGCTACGCTTGAGGTTACTTTATGGGGTCTTGTAATCCAAACGTTTTCCAGCGCCTGCGCGCTTATGAACGAGTCGCACGCTTGTCAAAACATCCTCAGCTCCTTGCGCTTATCCTCAGTACATTTTATCACAGGCCACCAAGTTGATATTCAAAATCAATCATTTCGTTATTGCTGCCATTCTACTCTTATGCTCCCTGCATTTTCCTTGTTGATAAAGAAAAACTTTTTTGGCCACTCTGAATGACTGTATTTCAGACACTAAGGAAGTCAGCATTGTAGCTAAGTCGTAACTTCCATAAAGGTTTATGTATGCAAGCTTAGAAGTCCGATTAGTCTCATAGATAGTAGTCTACCCAGCGTCTTCGTCACTGTGTTGCATTGATGACTTCTTTACATCTGTGTCCAGTAGCAGCTTCGTATACATTGGGGATGACGTGTTACCTTCATAACTTATTCGCCTTGGGCTCTATCAATTCAATGATTCTTTTTTTCGTGCAAAATTTGATGTCTTATTGAAGGACGCTAATCGCTTGGTTCTAGTAAGAAATCTTTGCATATCCTCGCAAAAGTATAAGCATCCTGGCAGAAAATGCAGTAAAATTCTATTCATTGCTATAGACCGACCGAAGACGGTTAAGAGAACTGCAATCGTCGTCCTCTGTATGGCAAACTGTGGCAATATCGCCACTCCCCCCCCCCCCTCCTTCCCTCTTATGGTGGTGAAGGGAGGTGTTTACTATGACTTATAATGTTCAATATATTATTATTTGTCGATGATACATCTCTAAATAGCTATCTATCTTTTGATAATGTTCCAACATATAGGAGGACCACAGCGAGATCGAATCCATAATCATTACACATTGGCATAATGACCATGTTGGTGGCATTCCAAGCGTTATCAAGGAGGTCATTGGACACGAGGTGAGCTTATCACTTCACTCCAGGAATAATTGTCCAGATCAATCGTAGAGGGGGCTACCTGCAAATAAAAACTGCGAAAGTCTTTTCTAGGTCCCAATCTACAAAATTCGGCGGGGAGCTGCCGAAGATCCTGCACAGTTTCAGTATGTAGACGATGGATACGAAGTTCATGTGGAAGGTGCTACTCTAAAGTGAGTTTTGAATATCTTACCCTGCATATCGCATGTTACGCGTCACTTTTGTTTCACAGGTTTGTACAAACTCCTGGTCATACTTGCGATCATGCATCCTTGTATCTTGAAGAAGAAGAGACTTTGTTCAGGTTCATATGTTTTTCCTTATCTCCATTGTAATTTTTCTACCAAACCTCCTCAATTTTCAGTGGTGATTGCATACTTGGTGAAGGAACGACTGTTTTCGAGGATCTCCATGACTATATGAGAAGCTTGGAGAAGATCAAGGACTTTCATCCAAAGCGGATCTACCCCGGTTAGTTTATCCGTCACATTTTTCCGCCACATGTCTTTTGAATTTGCTTGCATGTCCAGTGCACCAAAGTTATTGAAATTTTTTCTTGTAGGGCATGGTCCTGTAGTCGAGAAATGTGATGAGAAAGTAGATGAATATGTTAGCCACCGAATGAAACGCGAAAATGAAATAGTTGAAGCGTTGCGCAGGCTTGGCGATGCCACTAGCATGGACATCACTGTCCTTGTATATACGGTAAGAGTTTACCAGATATGTTCCATAGAAAAAATATCTCGAGTACGTCTAGGACTCACCCTTGTCCGTACGTTTGGCTGCTATGAACAACGTGAAATTACATCTTAACAAGCTGATCAAGGAAGGCCGAGTCAGTCTAACTCCCGCTGGGTTATATCATTTGATCCAGTAAAACATTCTCATCAAGCGTCGGAGAAGTCGGCATGTATTATGCGACTATAAATTAGCTTTTTTTCCTTTATTGTTTATAGTATCTTCGTCAGTCCGTTTCGCCTGTACGTATTGATCAGAGCTGTGATTCGATTTTTTTTGCTTATCTCATTGTTGAAGTGTCCTGAATAGCTCTTGTAATAAATAGAAATTATTTCCAAATCAAACAGAGGCTAAGCAGTGAAGGACGCATGCCTTTGCCTAGCGCTTTCACATGGCCTAGTTCCTATATAGTAATAAATGTTAAAAATGAAGGAAACAAGCTGCCCAGTTTCCATAATTTTATTGGAAATCTGCGAAATTTCTTGCTCATAAATGCGCTATCTTGGTATCTTTACCAACTGACAAAGCTTACTATCACCGAGAACGATGGCACACCTTATGATTTCTAGCATTTTAGCTGAAACTCGTCTCTTGTAATCACTGATTTAGAGAATTCGGAGTTGTGTTATGCTTGGACAGCCTTACAGATTCAAACTCAACCGTGTCGTTAAAGAACAGTGGTCCCAAATATTTAGATATACTTTATTGAGGACACGTCAACCCAAGCTCAGAGGAGGTAGATAATTTAGGAGATCCATGGCCAGGCCATTTCAGAGGTGATCACTGTCCAACCCAGACTTTACATCGTTTATCCGGTGTTGGATACATGGGAGATCCTTGTTTACAGCCGAAATCTTTCCCGAAAGATGGGATGTCTTGCATAACTTGATTAGTTCGGCATGAACCAGGTGCATGTGGATTTGTAAGAAGCTAAAGTATACAGATTAGTTTTTGTAGTGATATGATTTTTCAAAAAATTTCACCTGATTCACTAGGTTGTCGTCGCTCTGCTCCATACACCACGAATATCCATAAGTGATCCAGAAAATCTGATTTGGTGTATATTGCTCCAGACCAGGCAATCTGACAACAACAGAGGTGATAGCATGAATGAGGAGAATGAACCAAAATTTAGGGGTGGAGGTGGCTGTGTCGCCTATGGCCTCGCTTAGAAGGACATCTGGTACGAGGCACAGTGTATTGAGATGTAAGGTGCGTAGCAAATGTCTGCGCGGGAGGTGCCTGCGAGCGACAGAAAGTCCTCTGCCCCGATTTACGTTTTTGCGACACATTGCTTGATCAGCTATTTGGAGACCGACAAATTCTAATTATTTGGTAGGAAATTTGCAACTTGACAAGGTGATGATAGTATAGGCAAGCGCCACGCTTGAATTGCTTGATCCTCTTCGCCATTGGTTGAATCAGTGAAATGACCAATAGCGGTGAATAAAGGGGAGTAAGGACGCGTAACACCATAAATTACCTTGGTTCTTCTTGCTTCTTCTCCTTATCAATGTATTCCCGGTAGGCATTGTATGCGGCTTGTTGACCTGAGCGAATGTGCGATAAAAATTTACTAGAAGAGAGGTTTTTCCAATTACCTCCCAAATCGGCAATATTTTCTCCTTGAGTAGTTGCACCATTAGCACAATGAACATTGCCCGTTTTCTCTGGGCAGCATTGCGTGCTTGAACCATTATGAATAATTCTGTACTGAATTTATCTAGCTATGCCAGCTTACCTATACTGTGTGACAACACATTGTGCCATATCAGTAAAGCCAGTACTTGAATTTGTATCCATCCACCCGCATTGATTCCATGTGCAACCTGTTAACGAACCGTCCCCTCCAAATTGAACACCTCAAAAAAGGTTGCTTTTGCCCGTTACAACTCGTCCACAAGACTCATGCCTTACCCTCATCATCGAAACCATGGGTTAGTTCATGGCCTCCGGTACCTCCCTGACCAGCATAGTTGTAAGCTTGAGGATAGTCGAAACTGCAATTAAGTGATATTGAACATTTTTAGCCATACTAAATTTTTTACTTGTAGTAGGGAGGATTCCAGATAGCATAGGGGAATGTGATCGAATTTCTCTCTGGCTGATACCATGCATTTACCATTGCTGGTGACTGTAGGAAATTCGACCTTAATTAATCTTATAAGAAGTTTCTACAATTTTGATCACATAATCTACCTATCAGCTTTTTCGGTAAGAAGACGGAAAGCTTCGCGATTCTCCAAGCCTGTCTTCAATATTTTGAGGATCGTGTAATAATCATTACTGTCATTTTTGAATGCATCCAGTATAGGCATGTAGTCCTGAAATCTTCGGATATGATCGTTGAGGAGAAGGTGGGATCACACTTACGCTATGATAGTTATCAACATTCGCAGAATTCTTGAAGTCACCAAAAAGCTCAGGCCAACCGTAGTTCTTGATTAGTTGATCAGCTAAAGAAAATTATGTCGCTAAATCCGAACTTCTTTTTTATGACACGCACCCTTGTTCCGAGCTGCCTCTTTAGAATATGCGGACATCCATTGTGTTGAATTCATCATCTCCTGTAAGTAGTAAAAATATAAATTATTGTTATGGTCCTGAGAGTGTGTGGGAATCTACCAAAAAGTTCTTGATGACTAGTTCAGTCTGATGTTTAACATCCTTGACGACAGCATCCCTATTTGTTTGTCCTTTGACGTAAACATAGCCTAAAAAAGACTCAAGAGAACGATTCAAATTGCCTGCGTAATTTGATAGACCAATGTGGTATGATCTTACCAGGACCATAAGGCATGTATGCCATGATCAGGTCGATGCAGTCAACTGCAGGATCATCTTGGTCGTCGAATTTTCTCGTATATCGTCGGCCAACCCTCAAAATTCGCTTATACTTCTCTCTACTTTTGCTTTCTAACAGTCACCTGGTTACTCCTCTGCCCCTTCGTTGAGCGTATGGTACATAACCAGAACGTTGTGCTATATTTTGGTAAGGTTCCCCAAGAAATCCTGCATCATCCTGAATAGTATTATGCCAGATACATGAAGGTCTTATATAAATGTGCAGGGAAGCCCTGCTTGAAAGTGGGTATGATAACGTGCTGAAATCTAATCGACAGTGTACTGTATGCACTGTACTAGAGCATGTTATCATTCAACTGGTGGTGCCATTGCGCGTATGTTTACTCAATGGGTTACTTTGCAGTTGCGCAAAGTCTCAGTCTCTTTCAACGGCGTATTTTCTTCAACTGACACTTACAAAGAGCAGTTGAGTAATAATGTAGTTGACGATGGTATCTCGATCCACACTGTTTCCAGCAAAGATTGCATTCAACCAAGCAAAGTAAGAAGGTTGAGAGAGCACTACCTGAATGAGCATTTGAAACAAAAAAAAACCTAGAAAATATGCACAGCGATTACTTCTTATGATTTTAGTAAATACCATTCAGAAGCTAAGCTGCAATCAGCGAAATTGTGAGCTGAGGAAGGCCTAATTGTTCTTGCTTAGATAGACTATGAAAGATTACTGTACCAAGAGCATATAGGAAGCTCTTTTATTTTTTCCATAAAGTGGTTAGGCTTAGAGATCCTTACTTGGTTAGAGAAGACGTCAGCCGCCCCTTCAACAGATGATGTCAGATTTCTCAGATAGGTGCTCCACTTGATTGAGGGGTAGGCTTTGTTCAAAGTGTCCAGTTTGTAGGCGTTATACTGTTGGTCGTAATTTCTGGAACTCAAGATATAGAATCTCAATATGACAGCTTATGGAAGACTTTTGAAAAAATTTCGGTAGAGAAGGTTTTTTCTATGTGAAAACACTGACCTCATCTCGTCATCTGGCCAAGAAGCCATGGCTATCTGCACTTCAAAGTTTGCAACAGCTTGGGCAGCCTGAAATTAGATGCTTACGGTGATCAACATAGATTCGGCTGATAACGGATTTCATGCTAGATTGTTTGATCTATAGTCAAACCAAGAGTGTTACACGCGAAATCAATATTTTCCCCATTCCTTGATACCTCACCTCTGTGAGGGAATCGGTGAAATTTGACATGAGATCCATGGCGAATTGTTTCATGACACCCTCAATCGCTGTTGCCCTGTCGTTCAGATTATCCACAAATTGAGGAAGAACGTAAAAATCACGAGGCATCGAAAGTGCAGGCTGAAAAGGTTCTTTTCTTTGAACAGGATAATGTGTTTCAAAAATTGAAAAAAACCTATTTTGAGAAAAATTTATACCTGCGATATGTAAAGCGCATTCTGTGAGACATTCTTGTAATCGACAGAAACCCAAGACGAGAGCAACGTTCCAAGAGCATGAGTTTGTTCTATAAAGCCTACCGTACCCCAAATGCTGGCAGAATCCTGGGTTAATTCGTCGCCGAGGAAGGGAGCACCTCCAAACCTAGACTCAAGCCATTATCTCCTTTTAAAGGTTATATACTGCGTTTTATACAAGGTTACCAGGCGCTGATGTCGTTATAAATTTGTTTAGACTTGTCGATAGAGCTTGTTAGCTGGCTGTTGATAACGCATGCATCCAATGCCTGAATGCCAGGGCAGTAGGTGCTGCATAAACACTCCACAAACCTGAAAACTAACCGCTTTGGTGATTCTTTCAGTAGCTGACCATTTTGCGTCGTTTATATCCACAGCTTTTAGGCTCAACGCTATCTGATTATTGACAATTACTTGAGCCTCGTCGTATGTCCCTAGTCTGCCCATTCCAGTGATGTTCGCATGAGCGGTGAACTGTAGCAACAAATTTGGAATCGAGACATAGTCAGCTAGCTATAGAGCTCACGTTGTTGCAAGTGAAAGCATAGAAATCTTCACATGGGTCCACACTTTGATCAAGCCCATTTAAAAGATAAGCAGCAGCATGCTGGAAAGAAATTTTGAGAACGTAGAAAGATATTTCTTTATATATTTCCTCCAAACTTTTATCGGTTCAGAAAAAGAGCAATTAATTAATGCTCCTGAAAATTTGGCGATAACTTGATTGTGCTAACTTCCTCTCGCTAGTCGTGCCTTTGAATCCTTTTTTATTTTTAGGAGACGATTTGGTACTCTTTGTATCGTATTTTGTGCACAATAGAGATAAGGTGTGCATAAGAAGCTTCTAGCGCAGCGTAATATTCTCCTATCGTACGTACGCACTTTTCAAAATGTTCGGGGTTTCTGCTTATGTGGAATGGAGAGCGCGGGGGGGGGGGGCGGAGTGGGCTAATTGAGGTGATCAAGCGATAGCGCAAATGCTCCATTCACGGTTGGAAAATTCACTTGCGTATCTCTCAAACCCTGCATCATCACCGTATGTTTTTGCATGGTAGTTTCGAGGTGGATCCCCGAGCATATATCTTTGATTCAACGGGATTGGCGGCTGGAAGGCGGCGACCGCTCGCGCCATCGACGCTGTCTTCTCCTTCGCACGTGCTCTCTGATCATTCTCCTTGAAGCCCCGCCTTCCAGTCGCCGATCCCCTTGAATCAAAGGGTAACTTCGGCGTTAGAGTACGGTAATGAAGCGGGGTTTTTAGGGCGCAGAATTTCATGGCAGTGAGTAAACTTTTGTGCAGCAGCCAAGTGAGTCTCAAAGATTGTTATTTTGCAGTCATTCATCAACGACCACGTAAGCATATGTCTAGACGCTTGAACAGTGCTTTTATCGGTTGAAGACATGCTAGGAATCCTAAAAAATGTCAGTATTCCTCATGTCTAGGCAAAATTAGAAGCTACTAAACTATGGTATGCTAGTCCTCTAACTGAAAAGCTATTCTGAGGTTTAAATATTTCCTTAGAGAGGAATGTGCCTGCTTTTTGGCTCGTCCTTATCCACAACATCGTTAGCAGTGGTATCTTTCAAAAAATTAGCGCCACACAACTCTGCCAAAAGTATTTTAATGATGGGCTAGGATGGGAAAGTTAAAGAGCAGCACGCTGCAACAGACACAACATTCTTAGACTGTGTATGAAGGAGTGTGAAATATTAGCTACAAAAATCTTTGATTTTCTTACTTGATATCCTGGAGATTTGTCAGCAGGTACATAATTTGGACAGTATGTGTTGTTGTTGTTGTTGTTAGGGGGAGGAGGAGTAGAAATGAAAGGAGTTGATGTAGGCTTTGCTGAAGGCTTCGCAGGTGGACTTGTAGTCGCTTTCGTCTCGTTGATGGGGATGTTGTTATTAATATTGCTAACTCGACTCAAGATGAGGATGTTCAGGACAAGTGAAGCAATCGCAATCGCGGCCGCCACGAAAACCGCAACTGAAATGAGAATCCTTGATTGATACAGAAAAACTTAAAGTACAAATTTCATCCTATACTACTCAATTTTTGTTAAATTTTATTATTATGTGTTTCTAGAAGACTCTGATAGCAAGTCAACCCACTACATTGGTCTGAAGACAGTGTTTGCAAAGCGCCTTAATTCTTATCTGAAGGGCATTGTGCTCGCTATGCGAACTGAAAAGTACAATAAAGTAGATTTTTGGTTCAAAATGTACCCCATGTTTCTTAGGGTCTGCTTAAGATTCTTTCTTACAAACGGTACGAAGTTTGATCATTTTGCTCTAATGCATAGGATAGAATTAGCTGTTTCAAGGAAACCAAACAAATGATAGCTTAATGAAACATTTTCACCTCATGTGTGCTAAGCGTATTTCATTTTTTTGCGAGCAACTAAGAGAGTTTTGTCACATGCCAAAGATTGTGTGAAAAAATAATCTATTTTCACGGAGTTAGTGTCTTTGCTACTGATAACGGGTAGCGCTGATGATTTTTAAAGCCACAAAATCACCATTGCATTATATGTTTTGAAGTGAAAAAGAATAGACTTACAAGCGGTGAGTCCTAGCAGTTTGGACATTGAAACGAAGTCAAGTTTCGATAACTCCGTTATCACTTTGCGACACTTTATCAGAAGATGACTTATTCGAAGTCACGCCCGTAATGCAGAGTTAATAGTTGCGGAAGCTTGAATGATAACCTTTGAAGTACCAGACTACCAATGCAAGTATGCAAATGAAAGCTATGAGAAGACGAAATGTTATATTATATCATTCTGCCTACGGTTTCTGCCAAGAAATGCATAATTTCAGCGTTCTGTAAGTGAACGAAACTTCCCTCACTTTCTCAAATCTGATCATTAACTGCAATAAGGAACCAAAAGAACCTCTTTTTTGCCAATGTCGGCATGACAGCTCTCGATATGACTAATCAGTGTTTTATCAAAAATACTGCTTAGCTGTTACGCATTCCATGTAATGTTCGAAGTGTGTCAGAACCACACCCATGGTCATTTATTCACATCCGCAGCAAAATCATAATCTCAGTCGTGGTGAAGAGATTTCCAAGTGTTTTCCTGTAGCTTATGGAAGAAAAGGATTTGCAGAACTGGTACAGTTTGATATTCTCTTCGATTTTTCCTTGTATTATTCAAAAGTTTTTACCGTAAACAACTCATAATATCTTTTAGCATTAGAAGTCAGCAAAAGTTAACAGAGATACATATGTTATGGCTGTTATGACATTCTAACTAATATGAGTTAACAGTGCTAGCTCGCTGGTAACAAAATTTAACTTTAAATAAAGTTAAACTTTTAGAGCTTGTCCAATTCAGCTGTAGAAAGTCCAGCTCTTCATCCAAGGAATGCTTAAACAGCTGATAAATCCAGTAAAATCCACGTTTTGTCATTTTCTCCTGTTTCCTCATTCATAATCGTGGTCCTACCTCCTCTGTTTCTTTTGCAAGTTCTTCAGAAAATTCGTTTATGCAAATATGCTAAGATAAACGCAACAGTAGAATTCATGCTCTCACATGTTCGACGTCTCTACGGACAGTTTTGTACAACAGGAGTTTGGCGCCTGAATTTTATAAGGAAAAATTGATTTTGAGTGCAATATGTGATCCTGAAAGACGCTGTCCAAGATATTCAAAAAGTTGGTAAATGTTTTTAGAAGGCCTTGACAGGTATAAACTATGCTTACTAGTCCTTCCTGCACGTTTTTCGAACACATAATATCATTATTCTATTCAACAAACCAGAAGAATGAACAGCACGCATGAGTTATGAATTTTTGCAAGTGACTTGTTTTTTGTAAGTAAGATCATCAGCTTTTTTCTTCATCTACATTTGTGATAGAAATTCTGTGTTTACACCTTCAAGGCACATTTCGTCTCCCGAAGAGAAACTTTTCACCTGAATATCTGCAGAGGTAAAGGATATGTTCAAAACCGCTACTTAAGTCATCCAGAACTGGGATAAGACAAAACATGTTTTACTCTCTTTAGCCAGTCTCTATCTCTATTATAGATCGTTTTTAGAAAAACACCCATTTCTCAACATTCCTTGGCTGCAGAACTTTCTCTTGATAAGGAATAGTTTTCAAATGGACAACCCGACGCGAAGACGGAGCCAGAAGTAGAATAGTTGTTACATTACTATTGAATTGGTTAGAAAACAAAAATTTCCAGCTTTGAATATGCTAGACAAAACAGATTGCACAGAAATAAATCAAAAACTATCTGTAATCTTTTATTTAGCAAATCATTTCATGACAGCACACTTGAATAATAAAAATAAGTTTTGCGTACTCCTCTGACATCTTCATCTGCTGACGACGGCAGTAGGGCAGAAGGTATGAAAACTAGTTTGAAAGCTTGATAAAACAAAAAGGCACGGCATCAAACCGACATTTTGAAAGTCTACCTTATAATTCTCAAAGTTCTGGGTAAATTAAGTTATTTTTATAACTTATGAGATCCACCGATCGCACTTAAAACTATTAATCTCGAACCCATACTTTACACCTTTGCTCAGGTGTGGGATACATTTTCTGACCCACTGTACAGCCAAAATCTTTCGCGAACGCCGGAATGTCTTGTACGACTTGCTCGACTCGGCAGATGCCAGGGGAGTGAACGTTAGTAAGAAGCTGAAAATCGTGGTTCATACCATATCAACCTGGACAGAAGAGAAGTAAGGAAGTGTCATGCCTGGTTAATCATATTTTCTTCCGAACGAGTCTCACACCAACCAAAACCATGAGTAATCCAAAACAGTTGGTTTGGTGAATATTGCTCAAGTCCAGGTAGTCTTAACAATCGGTTATGTGCTAGACTTCTGCAAAGCAAGAAAGCTTACCTTTGTTCTTGTTTTGGCAGAGTTTTTGCGTATTTTTGGAATGCTCGGTATGCAGCTTGTACACCTAGAAAAAAATCTTCGTGACTGAACTTTCTGCAAATTTCACGGTATATTCGAGTTATTAGAAACACAAACACGATGCATTTGCGGGAATTAAGACAGCATATGTAAGAGTCAGTAGGCGATAAGAGGAAAAGAATGTGAGATGCTAATGTGTATGTAACCGCGACGTAAAAAAGATATTTTGGAAAAGGCATTTTTTGAAAGCCTCATCATAGCGGCGCACCTCTGATTGGTTGGCACGTCGGCTGTGATTGGCCAGATTTGAGCAAGGCGGAGCAATGGCGAAGAATGGGCACGCAAGCATGCTCGTTCAATATCCATCCTGTCCGACATGTGCAAGTTGGCATAGATATATAATACGCTTCAATCTTCTCTATCCCCATGTAACTGATATAACTCGTCCACTTTTTTAGCGGCGCCGCACGCGGTAAACCCCTTATAGCGCACAAACGGCTCAAAAGGGCCTTAGCTTTCTTCAAAGGAAAGGCTTTGACGTCCGCAATTGCGTTTTGCATCTAAGTATTTGACTTGCCTACACGCATAGTACTCTGACTGATTTATTCGTTCTGTATTTTTTCAAAAGTAAGGAAAATATTATAAATTCTACCTCCAAGATCTGCAATATTCTCTCCTTGAGTGGTAGCACCATTAGCACACATCGTCGTTCCACTCTTCTGAGGACAACATTGAGTGCTAAAACTCGAATTTCAAAATCGAGAACGAAGTTGTGCAACGATTATATGCGATTTAACAAACTTGTATTGTGAAACTACACATTGTGCCATATCCTTGAAGCCTTCCTTTGATGCACGATCCATCCAGCCACATTCATTCCATCCGCAATCACTTAAACTTCCATTCGAACCGAATTGAACTCCTATAAGGAATTTGATTAACTACGGTATCTTATCTCTACTATCAGCAGTACCTTCATCATCGAAACCATGTACTAATTCGTGCCCGGCAATTGCATGTTCTCCGGCATAGTTATAAGCTTGGATTTGAGGTGAGTTGCGAGCATAGCTAGAAGAGGGCACAATTCAAGAGGAAATGCATATTTTTTGTTGAATTTCTTACTTGTAGAATGGTGGATTGAAGTTTGCGAAAGGCAAAGTTATGGAATTCGATTCAGGTTGATAGAAAGCGTTTACTTTTGCGGGGGATAACATGAACCTCGTTCTAAACTCGAACTTTGGATATGGCAGGTCGCTTAGTTAATGAAACATACCGTGTCGGTGTTTCTTTGATTAAACGCAGCGATTCTCGATTCGAGTATCCCTTGATCATAATACTCCTCAATTTATAGTAAGTTTCATTCTTTATGTATTGATCGATAATTTGGTTGTAGTCGTCCTGTAAGTAACCATGCATTCGAAGGCCTAGAGCTAATAATTCATTCTTACAGAGTGGTACTCATCAATTTTACTAAAGTCTTTAAAATCGCCGAAAAGGTCGTTTGGCCATCCATAGCTTTTCTTCATTTCTTTTGCTGTAAAGTGGCGGTTTTGAATTGCATGGTACAAGCTGTAGTAATTCTACCTTTTTCTCTTGTCTTTTCTTTGGATTTTATCGTCATCCAGTCTAATTCAGACATCATTTCCTGCAATAATAACAACATGCCAGAGCTCACTTGGAGATTATTGATGAAAAAAGTGCTCCATTATCAAAACTTACTAAAAAGCTGTCAATAACCCTATCAGTCTGTTCACTGACGTCTTTGATTATATTATTTCTTTCATCACCTTTGGATTTGACGTAAGCATATCCTGCAGAAAAATTATCTCCATAAACAGCTACATATGGCAAATTTCAAAAATACCTGGTCCAAACGGCATGTATGTTGTGATGAGGTCCATACATGGCAAATTTGGATCGGACTGTTGGTTAAACCGGGTAACACGTCCTCCTACACTGCAAAAAAAAGATATTCTATATGTTTTTGAGTCTATCTTTCAACAAAAGAGTGCAGAGGAGTGAGATTCACACAAAGATAACTTTTTCAAGTTTTTGTTTACAAATCCAATTTCTCATACTGACTGTGTTACTCCGAAACCTTTCCGTTGTGCATAAGGTACATAATTTGCTTTCTCTGCCACTGACTGAACTTCTCCACCAAGGAAATCTGCGTCTTCCTGTAAAATCGCACCTTAAACTGTAAATTAATTATTCAGTTCAACTTACGAAGATCATTTGTGTAATCATATAGTTGACGATAGTTTTTCGATCGAAATCTCCGGCGAAAAGAGCGTTCAACCAGCCAAAATAGGATGGATGCATTATTATAATCTAGAATAAAAAAATCGGTATCAATAGTAGGCGCATAGCTATGACAAAACACCTTTTTGCCATTGTAGAGCTCGGTAGTTCCAACTGTTGACATCAGAGATCGGAAATAGTCAAGCCAGTTGATCGCTGGATATGCCTTCTTTAGCTCTTCGCTATCGTAGACATTATATAGTTGTGCGTGGTTTCTAAAGCAAAATCAACAGGTTCGAAAAAGAAAAATCAGAAAGCCTCACCTTAGCTGAGAGCCTGGTAAGGATGCCATGGCAATGTTCATCTCCAATCTGGCCACTTCCCTTGCAGACTCAATGTTTTGTGTTTTCAATCTTTTCAACTAGTATACGAAAATCTGTTGTTCTCACCTCACGCGTCAGATTTAGATACTTTTCGTGGTCGTCCAAAATGGCATCCGCAAATTTTCGCATGACATCAAATATCGACTGCTCCCGATCGGCCAGCTTTTTCGTAAACTGTGGTTGAATGTAGTAGTCCCTTGGCATTGGTAGCTTAGGCTAAACTGCACACTTGGTTACCATATCGAAGTACTCATTAATTACTGCAAGGTCAACACATTTTACAATGTTTTATGTAGGTCAAAGGCTATGATTTCGTAAAAACTTGGGATGTTCAGAGCAAGAGATAGCAAATCCTTATAAACCACATTCGCTGGAATTGAAAATCTGGAAAGGACAAAGCTGGAGCTTGAAAAGAAAAGATGATTTCAAATCTTTTTTCAAGTGGCGGGAGGGGGGGGGGCAGACAGATAGAGTTGGCATGACGTTAGCCAAGCCCTCCCATTTTTTGGAAGGCATTCTAAAATTGTGCATTTTTCAATTTCCGAATTCGGAAAAAAGGTCGCGGCAATAAAATTTCAAGGTTATTTATGTTTTCTGCAAGCAAACAAGTACTTTGTTCCTGTATTTTATGTAGACCACTTCCGGAAAATTCGCAAGCCATTCGCGAAAAGGAGGGGCCTCCTATGGCCCTAAGGTCGCAGTACTACCTAACTATTAGGTTGTCCCATAAGTTTTTTCATATTCGGACCTTCAATTTGATTTTTCTCAGGAACTACAGCACCTAGTAGGCTGCAAATTTTTGGCAGTAATTCTGAGCGAATAAGGTATATAATCACCTACTTGCGGGGAATACAGAAGTGATACAGGCAAAGTTTGAAAATTGAGCGCATTATTTTTTTCTTGGTTTCTAGCCATCAGAAAAATACAGCAAGTGCATTTATAAATATCCGATGAGGAGAGTATATGCATGAAAAAATAGTAAATTTGCAGAGCTGTTTTGAACTGAGATATGATGATTTTCGTTTTTTCGGAAATTCGGGAAAATTTTTCATTTTGGCTTGGAGCTTGTTGCGGACTGGACTTGGTGCGAACTTTTGAGAGCCATCTTGTAGAGCTTACTTTGATCTGTCGAGTGGTACCCTGCAATTTATCAGGAGTTCAAGAAGAACTGATTTATGTCGTTGAAAAGTCAGGTATGAAAAGACTTATGGGACAACCTAATATTCAACTTGGCTTTGAATTGTATTTCTCAAATAAAACATAGTTGAAAAGCGTGCTGCAAATCCTGAAATCATGTAAACTCCCTTCTTGATCACCAGCTATTGTTTCAACTCAAGTCAAGAAAGTCTACAAGGTAAAAACTAGTCTTATCCCTTTTCAAAAGCTCAGACTTCGCGTACAGAAGCGGCTAGGAACTAGTGCGGAATTACTAGAAGAGGATTTAGAGAAGCGTGTGCTGTTATGTCGGAAAGACGGGCGTGATCGAAGTTGCTTCGAAATTTTTCCAGAACATCAACAGGGTGTCCCGAAAAAGGTGGTACACTGTTCGATCGTCAATAACTCTCTTGCTTTGATGTCTTTCGGCGAACTTTAGGTGCCTTTTAGATGCGCAGTATAGAGCGAATCAGCGATCGCTCTTCATTACGGTAGGATTATGGTGGAAATTTCGAAATGGAATTCAGAGGTTGAGAGCCATATCTTGCTCCCAAATGTAAACCGAAAAAGTCAAAAACTCTTATACCTGGCTAATCAAGGGCTAATTATAAATATGAAGTTTGCACTTTACTGTATTGCTAGTTCGTAAAGTAATCCAGAAATATCTTAACAAGTGCTTCTGTAATGCTCATGAGAAATGTGTTTACAACCAACGAAAAGCTGAGATAGTCATAAAAAGTTGTGTAATGAAATCAGCATGCACGGAAACTCTTCTACATAATTTTCTAAATCTTTTGAATAAAATTTTGCCAGACGGCCCTTTCTACAACGGCTCTGTATAAAAATTTTTACCGTACTACAGTAACGAGGAGCGATCGCTGAATCGCGCTATACTGTGAATCTAAGTTGAACCTCGCTCAGCACAATGGTACCTTGAGTCCGACGGAAGACAGCAAAGCAAGAGAGTTATCAACGATCAAACGGTGAGCACATTTTTTAATTAACCCTGCATAATCTTAAATTTACCTGGGAAAGGTACAACGCATGCTGTGAGGTGTTCTTGTAATCAACCGTGACCATGGCTCCCAGAAGCGTAGACAGAGCGTGCTCCTGCTCTAGAGTTCCCATAGCAGCGAAAATATCATGATACTCTGATATAGGATGACCGATGAATGGAATGCCTCCAAATCTGAGATGATGTTGATATTAGCTAAATACGGACAGTAAAACGCACAACTTACAAGCTTTCCAATTTGCGAAGGAAAACTTCTGTGCTATTTGGCTTTGTTGTAGCATGATAGACGCAGCTTTCGAGAAGCTAGAAAATACAATTTCTTACAATACAAAAGGAGAGCCAAATTTTTGAATACACTGCGCCTTTTGGAAAATAAGCTGTGTGATATGAATACATAGCGACTTTTTTTGAAGCTACCGTCTGTACCTGCGCGTAAAATGGCCGCAGGCAGATTGAAATGTATGCTCGACGATTTTTGCTTGAATGTTGTGGGCACCGCTGGGACATTTAAAATGCTGTTTAAAAAACAATCAAAACTGAGCAGTCGTTTGGATGTACAAAACCTATGCATCTGCGTTTGCTACAGCCGATGAGTCAGCTTTAAATCATGAACTTTTTGGCCTTTTTGGCAAACGCACAATGCACTTTGGTATTTCTTTCACATCATATACTTTTGATGACAGCTTTTGAGCATAATATTGTTTGATAACCTTGATCAAGAAAAAAGGATGTATCGATTGTGATCTGCAGTGGTAGCAATTCATCCTAAAAGTGATCGATCACGCACCGCTTTTGTTATCCTTTCCGTTTTTGACTGCGATTGATCTCCAACCTTTATCCCGACCATGTTTTTTACTATTTCCGTGTAGATTTCATTCTGAAGTTCGCTAGAAGCCGATACCTTGCCAACCTTTAGCTTCTTGACATCGTGACTTGCAATAAACTGAAACCAAAGTCGTAAATCTATGCCTGACATAAGCCTTTGTTACCTTGTTACATGTAAACGCATAAAAATCCTCACACGGATCCACATTCTCGTCCAAACCACTTTTGATTAGAGCTGCTGCCTTCTGTAAGCTTCGCCTGTTTATTTAGAAAAGAAACACGAGGCCTAATTCTTTACTTTAACAACTATTTTTTTCTGACTGTAGCATTGATTTGTGATGTATTCTTACTTGGTGTGCTTGTAAATCGGTGGTAAGCTCTCAAAGAGTGTACTTAGATTTGTACCACAAACGGGTGATGCTTGAGAGAGTTCTCAACGAAATCTCAGGCGGATAAGGAAGATCATGGTAAGTTGAAAAAAAAATTGTAGACGCTATGTCAACTCATAATCGTTGCTTGATGTGATGTATAATATGTGCATGCGAATTTCCAAATTGCATCATTTCAAAATTAACCGGGTCTAGGCTTAAAGGCAGTGTCCCGGCAGATTCGGGTCCTGGGGGATATACGTGTGGTGGGGTTCCTGGTCACCCCATCGACTTCCAGGCGCGCTCCGGCCGGGTAATGTTCCCCCTGGGCCGAGAAAATGGCCCTTGAACCGGCGCGCGCAACCCCAACTGGCGCGCGCTTGGACGGCCTTCCCCGCCTGTTCGGCGCGGGACCCCACGAGCGCTCTTCCCCATGATGCATGCTATTCGAAGCAAGAATTACAGGCGGCAGGATCTTCGTCTGAGGACCTCCCCCAACTTTCCATTAAAAATCTCGTCCAAGCTGCTTTTCTGGAATTAGAAAAACGCCTCAAAATCGGCTTTTTCAGCCCGTTCAAAGCTCAAATTCGGATTCTACGGGGCGAAAAGGCCTAAAACATGCAAAAAGGTGGGGGTGCAAAATCTGCCGGGACACTGCCTTTAAGCTTACCTATACCGAATTTTTGTACACTTTCAGTGCCAACTATGATTCTTAGTTGTTTAAAGAGCTGAAGATTCACGAGATACGCGACTGCGTCGCTCTTATTTTTCAAAAATAGCTAGAACAGCTACAGCACATCCTTGGCACGTGACCAATGCTTAAGGTTAAGCTGAGAATGAAAGAAAAGCTTTACCCTTGTTTCAGGGGTGTCTTGTGCTGGTCCGTATCGTGGACAAAACAGGGCATCATCGTCGATTGGCTTTGACGTTGAGCTTAATATTGGATGCGGAGTTACTGTTGGACTTCTTGTCGTTAAGTTCGGGGAGATTGTCGTCGCTGTCATTATTTCAATATACAAACAATAAGAGTAAATCTATCTTCATAAATAGTAGGCATTAAGTTAATGGATCTGACGCTCAAATGTGCCGGCATTTTTGAGGAGCAAGTTGCCGACGTTACAGGCATAGCTATTAGTTCACGAGCAAAAGTTGTCGGCAAACGTTGGCACCGCAAAGGCACTACAATGTGTCAGATCTAGTAGCGCTTATACCTGGTGGGGCTCGCGTTGTTGGTCTATCATCTGGTTCCTTTTTCTTGTCCTTATGAACTTTATCATAAATTAGGATGCTAAACACCAGCGATGTTATGCAAAGAGCCGCTACCAGAACGGACAACCCTGAAATGGCTTTCTGTGTGTGAGTTACCTAAGGTAGATATATGAAATTCAACGAAAAAATTTTCGGGTGCAGTTTAGGTAAAACCAAACTCATCTCAACTGCAAGTTTCTATGTTTTTTTTCATTCGAAAACCATTTTAAAGTGGTCTCAACTGCAGCAGCAATTTGTAGTTTTAGCTTATTACTATCAGTGGAAAAGTAAATGATTCAAAATCGTTGCCAAACTTACAGATGCTGGCTACGGCTGATGCTTTCGCCATCGGAATGAGAAACGCAGGAAAACCAATCACATCTTTCTATTAGACTTTTTTCGTAACTACTTATCAGTTTACTCTTATCACACTTTCTTACTCTTCTCTCTAGGAGTGTCTTTCCCTCACACGTTTCGCAAGCAATTAGTCAGAAACAATCACAATCAAGCGCTTGTCGTTCATTTCAAATATTTTTCCGATCAATATCGATTCGTATGTTTTTCTAGATATGATTTGACATGTAGAATTACAAGTTAATCTTTTTGGATACGTTTCAGCTAAATAAGGTCGATACCGTAATGACCGATAGCATCTCCACAGCTCATAAGTTCGACTAAGACTTACGGATGCTAGAAGTTGACCATAGCATAAATAAAATAAGGTGCTACATAAGCAAAACTTCTAATTCTGATGATTTTCGTACAGTTTAGCCTCTTTCGTAAAAGTACTATGGCTCTGTGCAACTTACCTTCGTGCAAATACTTCAAGTCTTGCTTGGATTTGATTTTTAGGCTGGGGAATTTATTTCGCAAAGCATAGCATGTTTTGGCCGATTTTGAGTGAGAAAGTTGTTATACTCCAATGAAAGACACTCACTTTCTTTTTGTGACATCTTTAATTTTCACCATAGATCGAGGTGAAATTCTGAATATTTGCGAAGAGTTTAAGATTTGTCCTGTTGCAAGATTGGTCCCGAGACTTTGCTTGAATGTAGAGGACACGAGTTGGCGAGTTTTATGACTAACAATAACCACTGCTCTACGATAACTATCATTTTTTCATTGATCTCTTCGCAATCTCCACATTATAAGCAGTAGACTAAAATTGATGTGAATTTTACAAGTGGTGGGAATCTGCAGTGAAATAATTATTTATTCTTATTATCAAAAAAAAGTCCGACAAAACACGTTGGTTGACGACTAGAATTGAATGTGGTTGGCCTTTTTTTTGAGAAAAAGAGCTTGGAAGAAACGACGAGAGGTTTTAGTAAAAGAAATATTTAGCTACTTCAACATAAATCGACTACTACTGCGCATAAATACATCTGCAAAAAAAAAACATGAGATCTGGTGATTTCGTTTATTCCTCAATCCAAACGGCACATCGTTGCTCCGCTGGTGGATACATGTTCTGACCGATGGAACAGCCAAAATCTTTCGCGAATTCCGGAATATTTTGGAGGACATTATTGACACGACATATGCTCGGAGAGTGAACATCAGTCAGTAGCTGCAATCGAACAGATATACTAAAATATATGTAGGGGAATATAATCCATTTACTTGTTTAGTAAGCCTGCTCGGTGTGATGCTCATGCACCATGAGTAACCATATCCCATCCAGAACAGTTGGTTTGGTGTAAATTGTTCAAGGCCAGGTAATCTTCAAATTTAAAAAAAAATGCTGTAGTCTTGAATTTGAGAGAAACAAAACCTCTTTTCCTCGCTTTTGAGCTCCTTGACGTACTCCCGATAAGCAAAATATGCTGCTAGTTCACCTACAGAAATAATATCTGATAGCGATTTATTTGACTAATTCAAAAAGTAAACCTCCAATATCTGCAATATTTTCTCCTTGGGTGCTCATACCATTAGCACATCTAACATTCCCGGTGTTCTGTGGGCAGCATTGTGTACTGAAATATCCCTTTAGATTAGTGAACTTAACTGATGCCTATGGATCCGCAATCACGGACAAATTAGATTTTCTAAAACTAAAATGTCACCTGTACTGTGTGACAACACATTGTGCCATATTCCTAAAGCTGCCTTTGGTTTTGGCATCCATCCAACCACATTCGATCCAACTACAATTGCTAAGACTACCATCTGGTCCAAATTGCAAGCCTAAAAATTCGAAATAATCAATAATTAATTTTACACCATTACAAGAAAATGCAAGTGCCTTTGTCATCGAAACCGTGCACTAATTCGTGACCACCACTTCCTGCTTGTCCACCATAGTTGAACGCTTGAGGGAATCCGTAACTGTAACATTAATCTAGCTTCGATGAAAAATGATTTTTAAAAATAATTCTGACCTGTAGTATGGAGGTTGGAAATGAGCATAGGGGAAGGTGATCGAGTTCCTTTCCGGCTGATACCATGCATTTACCAGTGCGGGTGACATTAGAAAAACATTTCTGAAAGTTTCTTCTTGGTCAGCCCTAAGGATTCGCGTATACTCTTTTAGTGATTTAAATTCTATGCTTCCCGTGATTGCCGCGCTTCTTGTGGATTACGTTGATTATCCGCGGAGCGCGGAATTTTCCACTCTAGTGCACGACTCTTTCACCTCGTAATTTTGTCTTCTTTGAAAATAATGTTAGCTATCACTGAAAAGGGAAGCAAAGTGCTGGCTCCGGTGAGTCATTATCATCATTGTGAAAGTAGAAGTTTCTGCGCTCCACGGTTAGCATTTATAGCAGGAGGCACATGAAGAGTACAACTGTCTCCTGGCTTGGTAAACAGTACTCACCTATCACCCGGCTCTTTAATTAACTTCAGCGATTCGCGATTTGAATATCCTTTCAGCATAGTCTTCCGTATCAAATAGTAGTTATGAGTACTGTTTGCGAGATACAGGTTTATTATCTCACCATAATCCTGCTGTAATGAACTTAATATTTAGGGAATGTGGCTCAATCATGACTGGAAGTGCTCCACCCGTGGTTAGGCCATTTGCATCTTCATATGTGCAATTACACAATAGGCAGTGGACCCGCCGACTAGACGGTGCTGCTAGCTTATCTCTCGTTTTTATTCAAACAGATTTTTTCCATAATGCAGTGCCTCCCCCCCCCCCTGCAAAAACCCAATCCTAGGGGGTAGGGGGAAATCCAATTGGAGTGGATGCTCCCATTGCACCTGTCGTGTAGTCTAGCGCCAGGTACGCTATTGCACATGTGAAGGTCCACATGGGATTCAGTGAGTGCGATTCGCTAATGATTTTTGCCTGCGCGGACAAATAACACAGATTTTAATGTGTAGAGCTACATGATTTAAGCCAGACGTCCGCTTTCGGACCGTACCTGTCTGAGAAGTACACATACCTTGTGATACTGGTCGATTTTGGCGCTGTTTTTAAAATCTCCGAATAAATCTTTGGGCCAACCATAGTTTTTTATCATTGCAGCAGCTGCAATCTCTCAAATTAATCTCTCAAATTTCCGTAAATTGATTTTTTTCTAGCTCACCTTTCTTTCTTGCTAAATCCATAGATGTCTGCGACATCCATGACAGGCTTTCGATCATTTTCTGTAACGCATCGATCATTCAGAAAACATCGCAAACGTAAATACTGCGCTATATACTTTCATATTTGTAGCATTTTTAGCAAATAATCTGCAGGTGAACTCGTCATGTAAAAACAAGTTTTGTGAATTCTGTTGATTGTTTAGTTTCAAACTACTGTGCTATTATCTGCTGTTTTGACAAATCTGACAGACATTGCCACAGTTCGCTGAACAAAGGCAGGAATTAATCATCATTTCTGCGACAAAGACTACCCATAAACCAAAATTTCCACCATTTACCCTAGGTTTTGAGAAATGCTGTTACTCACAAGGAAGCTTCTGAAGACAAGATCAGTCTGATGTTCAACGTCCTTAACCACTTCAGTTCTCTTCTCCTTTGATTTTACGTAGACGTAACCTAAATCGACTTCTTCTCAAACCCAGCTCCTTTTTATCTATATTTCTGATGGCCACCTGGTCCAAATGGCATATAAGTCATCATCGTGTTCAGACACTCAATGTTGGGATCGACAGCACTACCACGAGGGAATGGTTGTGCTCCAATTCTGAGAACGATATTTATGCAACACGAAAACTTAGTTTTGGTCTTATTTCAAAACCAAAATTCTCAACTTGACATAGAAATTACCTAGTAATCCCTCTGCCGCTTCTCACGGCATACTTAACATATTGAGATTCTTTCATGCGAGTCTTGAAAATCCCACCAAGGAAGTCGGCATCCTCCTGGAATTACTTCTGGGTTCCAAGTGCAGTTTGAGTAGCTGCTTCAACTTACAAAAATAAGATTAGTTAGAAGATAGTTGACAACAGTTTCGTTACTTGTCCCTCCTTGAATTAAAGCGTTGAGCCAAGAAATGTACGAAGGCTGGGCGATTACGATCTACAACCAGAGGTTTACACAATGAAAGTAATGGCTAGTCCCGGCGATGACTTATTGTTGTGAAGCGGGCGCGAGCGCGGGAATCGGCGCTCGCGCGTTTTTTTTTGCGTCCGCCCTACTCCGGGACTATTCTATGAGATCCGGCACGCGGCGAACGTTGAGGGCTCGTTGGCCATGTAGCGCGCCAGCGCAATCATTGGCCGTAGTACGCAAGACATCTGATGTTGGCCCAATTTCGACCTTCTTTATCACAAAATTGATTCGCTGATGTTCCATAATCGATGCGAAACCAAAGAAATATTCTAAGTCAAAAACAGGTAATATTCCGCATTAGCTGATTCAAAAAACGAAAGTAGCGTAATTTGCCGAAACTTCGTTCTAGAGGGGGTATTTGGCACGTTAAACATGAAAACCATATTGATTTCGTACGTTAGCGACATTTTCTCGGGCTGTGGTGGATATACGGTAGATGGGCTATTGCTCAAACATTGCCTAGAGGATTTCCTAAGGACGCTGATTACGAATAACGTGCCCTTTTTGCCGTGCTGAACCCGTATATCGCACTCGTATCGCAGGATAAAGCTTTTTTCTGGAATTTTGGGATCTAAATCTGGCTCAGAAGCGAAAATATCTCTTCCACGCACAATAGCTCTACAATAACGTTCGTTGTTCCAGCGAACGCGCTTTATATTTGCAGTCAGCATGCTTATGAATTCCTTCAGGCAAAGTTTTGAGTGAATTCGGATTTCAGCCATTTACCGTACACCCACCGTAAACCGAAAAAATGGCGCTACCTTACGAAATGAATATTCATGTCCAGCTTACCAAATAACTCAGATGAAGTTTGGGACAAATCCGTGATTTTGACTCCTTACCGTAATCCTACCGTAACTCCGCCAGATTTCATTACCGTGCAAAATAAGTGCGATATTCTTAATCAGCGTGCAAGGTAACCCCTCTAGACGAAGCGGAAAAAAATTGGGAGCGAGAATTGAAAAATTACAATATTTCGAGAACACAAACAATTACACATTGACTTAACGGGCAAACCAAAAGTTATTACGCACCAATTTCGCTTTAAAATGACGAAAATGAGACTTTATCGACACAAGAAACACAAAATCGATGTTAGAGAACAAAAACATGTGAAAGCCGCGGTTACATCAGCTGGGTGCTAGTTATGACCAACGCGCTGGCGCGCTCCACGGCTAACGAGCCCTTCAACGTTTGCCCCTTACCGGATCTCCTAGTCTATAGCAAAGTTCAAAATCTACTCACGTTTGTGCTACGTATATCGTACCCGGTCACAGACGATAACAAAGCTTTCAAGTAGCTGTCCCAAACAATCGATGGATACCTCTTCTTAAGCGCTTCCACAGTGTATGGATTGTATTGTTGGGCATAATTCCTGGTAATGTCGAGTCACATGAAGGAACCAAACTTTAAATCGAATTATGTACCAACCTCATTGCACTGTCGGGCCAGGACGCCGTAGCAATCTGCACTTCTAATTTGACGACATCTCTGGCAGCCTGCAAAGTTTTCACGCAGTTTTGTTGGAGTAAATCAGTTTTGTTTTACCGCTTTTATCATATCGTAGTAAGGTGATGCATCATCTAGAACTCCCTCTGCAAATGATTTTAGCATCAAATGGACATTCTTGGCACGGTCTTCGAGCACGTTAGTGTGCTGCGGCAAGACGTAGTAATCACGAGCCATCGGCAGACTTGGCTTAAAAACTCATTTTGACATTTTATCAGTTTATCTAATGTTTAGAACATAATGCAAAGCATTCTTTTGCATATATCTACAGCTGGAGAAGGCAGTCGGCCAAAGTAAGCGCTAGCGGACGCGGCGCGGATGTCAGATTCCGCTTATACCTTTACGTCTATTGCCCCAAGAAGGTAGCACAGTGCTTGCACCCGCCTCGCTTCCATAGGCCGACCTCTTCATCTGGCAACAAACATTGTACAGTTTGTAGGAAATTTGGTGTGCCACGTGCAATTGCACACTGACCACTATCAACTATAAATCCGGAATTGTGTAACATTTACAAGTAAAGTTTAAAATGTTCTTTCGGTATTTGTCATAAATTTTATATTTCTGTCAAAATTGCGGTGATGTTTATTCGTTTTGTCGCAAAACAAACTCTTCGCATGTACTTGACTTCTTTTTTAGAATCGGGTTTTTCCCGCGCAAAAGTGTGTTGTGTGCAACTGCACACTATCATTAGGACCTGTCTATACCTGCGCAATGAACAGCGCATTTCGTTCGACATGTTTATAATCAACGGAAACCATCGATGCCATTAGCGTTCCCATTGCATGGTTCTGCTCGAGCTGTCCCATCACGTTGAATAAATCTAGGTCCGGCTTGAGGGTGTGGTTGAGAAAGGGAATTCCTCCAAACCTGAGGATATCCGTGGTTAGGAGATTGGAAAAAATCATGGGAACTACATACAATTCTTTCATTTCTAAGAGCACATCTTTGACGTTGTCTATGGGCTTTCTGGCTCGGCTATGATGAACACACGCAAGCAGGGTCTAAAAATAAAATTTGTTCTAACTACACCACTGTAATGTACTATGTTGCTCATAGGTCATGACTGGAAAGCAAAATTGCAAACATACTCACTTACCGCCTTTACAATTCGTTCGGTCTCTGACCAGGAACTATCATCGAACTTTACAGGTAGAAGCGCATCCGTGATGTTCAAATTCACAGCATCCTGTGCTTCATCGTAAGTTCCTATTCGTTCAACTTTCATCTCAGATGCGTTGTGGTTTTTTATATACTGGAAAAATTTTAATTGGTACTTCAAAAAAATTTTGTCTAGTTTTTCTCTCTTACAGTGTTGCATGCAAAGGTATAAAAGTCATCGCAAGGATCAACATGTTGATCGAGTCCACCGAGAATGTATGAAGCAGCTACCTCAAAAAATTTCCATGAACTGCTAACCTGAGGGACTGCTTAAGAAAATAACAAATTCGCTGATTTACCTTATATTCAGGCTTATTGTCCGGTTCTCCATAACTTGGGCAAAAATGTGAGTCATTAACATACATAGGCTCTGGGTTTGAACCAAACGGAATACCCTTTGACGTACTGTTAATCGTTCTGAGCCTTATTTTTGCTGGTCTGGTTTTCTGCGCTGTATGCCTTACTGCTGTGGGGATTGGATCAGCTTTTATAGAAATTCGTTCGAATTTTAAATTCGGTTCGGAATTGGTCTTCGTGTCAGAGTAGTCATCCTTAACTTTGATCCATATGAGGATGTTAAGGACAAGCGACGCAATGGCCACACAGCCCACAGCGGCTACTATCCCTGTAAAAGGTACGGTTACTTTATTTTATTTTATGTTTTTTAAAAAATTGGTTCATTGAATTCTCGAGATCAATAACGAGTCAATTTGAAAATGAGTCGTCATCGTGTAAATCATGTATTTAGTGAAGTTGAAAAGACCAAAGAGACTGAAAAGAGGTTTTGGCAAAGCTATCACTAATCCAGAAAAATCCTGAACTGAGTTTCTGTAGTTTTGGTCAATTTTTTTGGGAAAAGGGAGAGCATGACATATCCTATAAGGTCTATGGTGAAATCTTGCTAATAAAAACAAGTTTTTTCTTGTAATTGAAATCAGATCATAGACTTACCGATGGTGGCCTTCGACATTAGAATGTGTCATGTAGTTTTGCCCTTATCAATACATTGCACCTTTTTTTTCTCCCTTGGACTCATAATCAGGCCCGTCCAGGGTAGCCATGCATATCGACTCCGAAACTTACTGATAATTATTTTGTTAGTGAGAAAATCATATTATCTCATGTGTGCGTCATCTAGGCTTCTTATGAAATATGTTTGGCACGCGTAAAGGGGACATTCGTGGGGAGGGATAGTTTCTATTTCCGAATCCTTGTAGCTTCATAAATTCAGAGGGAAGGAAAAGGCTCATTGTCATTTTTACTGCATTGAAGTATTCGTTCATACTAAGTTGATCAAGTATAGTCAGTTGATCATTCAATCATAGTGGACTTGTTGAAAGTTATGAATCATTGGAAAGATGCTTATGAGCCCACTAGCTGGCTTACCCGGCTCCGCCCGGTTCTTTCAAAAAAAATTGATAAAGTTCCATTCCCTTTCCTGTACAACCTTCCCCTGTGCCCACTTCTACATGCAATTCTCTATTCTCGCTGTGTTAGTAACCAATATGCTCACCCACCTTCCTCACCAACCCCGTAGCTCAAACTTTGCAAAAAAATCGATAAAATTGATAAAAGTAATGCACGATTTTAAAAACTAATATTGTATTCGTAATCAGCATGCTCGATTACCCCCCTGTGCCAACTCCCAGCCCCGTAGCTCAAATTTTGCAAAAAATCGATAAAATCGATAAAAGTAATAGATAATTGTGGAAACTAATATTGTATTCGGAATCCCCATGCTCGACTATCCCCCTGTGCCAACTCCCAGCCCCGTGGGTGAACTCTGCAAAAAAATCGATAAAAATCGGTAAAATCGATTTCGATCGATGACGAAAAGTAGCCTATGACACCCGCCGGGGCCCGAAGTGTATGTGTGCCAAGTTTGGTCCGGATCGGATCAGAAATAAAAATTTCTATTCGGAACATACGTACATACATACAGACAGACATACAGACATACAAACAGACATTCAGCTTTATATATAAGATGCAGGACAACCTAGAATATCGGCTTATCACATTTAAATTTCAATCAGTGAAGCACTTGTGTTAGGAATAACCATTCGAGCAGCTTAATTTGGAATTTCTGCTAGCATTTTCGAATGTTGATATACAATACCGCTCTCAGAACGTGCAGAATTTCCGTGAATGTCGCGGACTTACGCGGAATCCACGGAATTGCGAGACATTTACGGAATTTTTGCACGTTCTGAGAGTGGTATTGTAGGCTTCTGTTCTGCTACTTCAGAATTTTAGTAAAGCTCGACCATTGCATTACTTTTGAGAATCACCGCAATATCACTACGAAACGAAACCTCAAACGTTAACAAGGATGGAAGGAAAATAAGGATGAAAGGGAGGCTTTTCGAGAAATTCTCGGCTAAGGCAGCGGCTGATAATCGCACAAGCCCCCACTAAAAAGATCTAAGCAAATGGATATGAAGAGGATTTTTGCCTCAATTCAGGTAATTGGCAGCCAGATCATAAAAAATGTTGAAGAAGTGTTGATCTTTCATACAATCAATCATATTGGTCAAGTCATCGCTATCTTTGTTTGCACGCTCAAGCCATCCAAATTCTCTGTGAATCTGGCTAAGGTGATTTTTTCAACATTTTTCTATTTTTCCTCGTTTGATATAATCTCAGAGTCAGTGCGTATTTCGATTGCATGTGTAACGTCCGCAAGATAAAGTTGGAGAGGTATCAAACCTCCGGGTAGAATCTAGTCTTATACAACTCTAAATGATCGCCAATCTGAACCTATCGCAAAGATAGTATGAATCTCTAGTATTAGGTTGTCCGGAAATTAATGCCCGTTTTGAATTTCAACCGCAATAAGTCATACACTCTTCACTTCTAAATAGATAGCAAAGTACCATTCGATAGAGCAAAGCAAGCTCTACAAGATAGCCATCTTGCTTTTTGCCAGCTTTGATCCATCTTGAGTTTCGAGCCAAAACTTAAAAAGACTCAGCAGCCCGAAAAATCGAAAAAAATCGTAACTCATTTCATGAAAATTCTACAAAAATTCTAATTTGCTCGCGTAAACACTATCCACATAAGACATCAATATACGCCGTTGCCGTATTTTTTTCTCTGTTAGAAACCAAGAAAACGGAAATTTTCGTGCATTTGCCAAAGTGATGCTGTGCCGTCCCCACATAGGTAGTTGTATACCACAAGCCTGAAAAAGTACACACTTAAATGTTCAGCTCTCTACAAGCTTTAGTTCTCAAGAAATTTGAATTTTAGCTTGGACCACTTAAGTAAGGAAAGCTATATTCGGTATTTCTTGAGAACTAAAGCTTGTAGAAAGCTGGAAATTTAAGTCTGTACTTCTACAGACTTGTGGTATACAACTACCTATGCGGGGACGGCACAGCATCACTTTGGCAAATGCACGAAAATTTCCGTTTCCTTGGTTTCTAACAGAGAAAAAAATACGGCAACGGCATATATTGATGTCTTATGTGGATAGTGTTTACGCAAGCAAATTAGAATTTTTGTAGGAATTTTATGAACTGAGTTACGATTTTTTTCGATTTTTCGGACTGGTGAGTCTTTTTAGTTTTTGGCTCGAAACTCGAGATGGATCAAAGCTGTTGCAAAAGCAAGATGGCCATCTTGTAGAGCTTGCTTTGCTCTATCGAATGGTGCTTTGCAACCCATTTAGAGATGAGAAGTATATGACTTAGCGCGGTTGGAATTTAAAACGGGCATTAATTTCCGGACAACCTAATAACTAGTAGAGCACCTCTGTGGTATGTGAAGAGTAGATAGTAAAGTTAGTCAATCACAACTCACTAGACATCACGAAAAAATCTGTAGAGAATATGCGGTATTTATCTCTCGAATAAGACTTTATACAGGGAATTCCAATGAGTGTCACGGCCGACGCGGTTCGGGTCCTCGCAAGCCGCCTCGCTTGAGACATTCGACGCGTTCGCGAACCTGTCTCGGGGCATTTTATCAAGCTTGTCAGCCGTTGATGCCTAAAGGGCCGGGTCTACTTCGCGCGATTTGGCATTATTCCAACTGTCCATAATTCGCTGTAAGCACATTTTAAATGTACCGAAGATAGGGCATTTAATAAATCCACGTAGGTTATATATACACGTTATGCACGTGCAGTTTGATGGTGTTGGATCTGAAGCCTTCTGGCTAATTGCCATATCGCGTCGCGACTGAATCGCATGTAGTATGCCCGGCCTTAAGGAGATGGTATTTCCTACACCTCAAGCATGGTGAATTATCGTATCCGCTGAGGATGAACGCGGCGAGAGACCGAAGCGAGGCGGCTCGCGACGCGAGACGCGCCGACCGTGACACTCAGAATGGAATCCCGTGTGGTTTAAAAAACTTGAATCAATAATAAATAGATACAAGCTCCTTGCGCCTGTTACTCCTTGACTATTACTGACCCTCCGTGACCGCCACTGCAACATTGTCATGGCCCCTATTTCCAACCAAGCTTGAGAATAGCATCGACATCCTGACCAAATCTTTAGAAAAGCATAAGCTACATAGCTTAGCTTTTTTGCTCCAGATGCTTTTGTACATCAACTCCGTACTTCTGCTGGCGATTCTAGCGCAGGTTCTGTCCGACCCGACATATGTGGAGGAATTGCAAGATTTACTGGAAGACAAAGTTGACGTTCTCGAGCTAGAAAGTTTGAAACAGGATGACGACATGATAAGGTTCTTCAGTGTGTATTTTGTCCCATCATCTTATTGAGCAATTTAATCATTATTCCAGAAGAGACAAAATGAGGAAGATCCACTATCTTCTCATGAAGAAGCCACGAATCATCAAGGTAAACTTCTTTACAGATTTTCACACATTATTCCAACGATTTCAGGCGCAATACCAAAAGCGATTAGAGATTAAGAAATTTCTACATGACGACTGGATCCAAAGCAAAATAATTCGTGCTTCTGATGAACAGATTAAGAGATTCTGGTACGAAATTCAGCGTCTTGACGTCAACTGGGACATATCGGAGACTGAGGCAGCTGAGCGAGAGTTTCAGGTTGGTCATTTTCAACTTTAGAAGTTTACTGAAACGTCTTCATATTAGTTGCTATCAAACTTGACTGCTCGACAGCGCAGATCACTGGGTAACATATGGCGTTGTTAGGACACAGCTTGAATCATTATTTCTTTGTACTACTAAGAAACTTTTCAGCCAAATCCTTCGAGAATTTTAGCTAGTATCAATTTTTTGTAAAGGTGTTGTTCTTGCAAGAAGTGGCAAACCTTCGCGTTTGGCATAAGTTTGACGTAAAAGCAATTATTAGCACAATAAACAGTTCTTGTCCACATAGTGATGAACTTCTGGATTGAAGAGTTCGAGACAAAATTTTTAAAAATTTATTTACCAGAACAAACACATTTGTGAAAGCTGATTGTCCTTAGTGTTTCTTCAATAATCTTCGTTGCTCAGGTGTCAGCTTTTCCTTGAGCTAAAGTAAATATCATATCTTTCCTCTGCCCGTTGTAGCGAACTAACCTCTTTTATCTTCTTATCGGCTTGTCTTTGCGAAATGCTCATATCCTTGTTGATTTCCTCGACTTTTTGCCAATATTCTCTGACTGCCGGATCATCCACTGCCATCTTCTTCTCCATTTTCATTTGATGTTTGAGAAGTGTGCGCTGAACTTCTATTTCGAAAAGTTTCTATAAGAAATTAGTGTCGTATAGGAGGTCAAACGAGATTGCAAGGTCCTTTTATACCTTGATGGAATCTGTTTGTCTAGCCAGAATGACATCAAGTTTTTGTTTCTTTTCGGAGCTGGAAAGGAGTAATATTCATTATGCAGGAGGAAAAAACACAAAAACTTGTGGTCTAAAATTTTGCCTGTCTACCGAATGTGAACCTTACCGGATCATATCCTTGTCCTTGTCTAGCTTTTTCAGTTCCTTTTTATCGTTCTTGTCAGGGACTATATCTTTTAGTTCATCAATAAATACAGGATCGTACGCGTATGAGACAACGGCTACTAAAGCCAAAATAATGAAGAGTGTTCTCATTCTGAAACATTGAAATTACTGTAGAGATGAAAAAGGAGGAAGAGAAAGGAGGGTCAGGGGATAATAATTCAAACTGGCATAAAATAGGAGCTGTGTTGAATCGTGAGAAGCGTTCCTTATATTGAGAGTATCATCAACTGATGAACCTGAATAAATAGATTTCGCAAGGATTTGTCTTGTCTACATCGTTCGGCAATATTTGAAAATCGTAATGCAGAAAAACTTGTTTACATAGGAAACAGTTTGGGAGAACAAACTGCCACATTGCACTTTTGCAAGATATAATACTTAGTGATTGAGTACACCATCTTTTAGTTCTAGCATAACAATATATAACACAAGATAACTTATTGATAGGAGAAGAAGTGGCTTTGACCGTTTAAAAAATGGGATATCTCGCATAAGTCCATGGCGGTTAACCGATTTAAATAGTGAGGTAGAACTGGTTTGAAACTAAACAATAAATTTCATATCCTCCTGTATGGGCTCGTTATCCTATAGCGTTCTCCAAAAAAATCTTTTTCGCTCACTTTCACGATAGTGACCATTTTTTGCAATATATTAACATCCGTCTTGATGCGAGAGCTACAAAATACACTTACGCAACAAAATTTATTTTTTATAGTCAATTGATTTTCTGTTCAATATACCAAAGATTCGGGCTGTTAAAAAACAAATACATAATTATTCATGACCAATGACCACGTATTTATGTTGATCTAAATTACCTCTTAAAACTTGCATTGATGTTACACCACTCTTTCTGAAGATTTTTTGGCTTGATTGTTTTCATTATCAGCTGCTATCACCATAATATGCAAACAATAATTTTTGCATTAAACACCACTAGAAAGCGTGTGTTCTCTGCTTTCCAACTACTGACACAAACAAATCATGGGAAACATAGATATTAAAGTTTTTTGAACATTGATGCAACACTCGTGAACAACCTAGTTACTTCAATTTAATCCAGCTCTTAGTTTTTGAGCCTGCCTTTTATCACGAGTAGAAATTGCAAAATGACAGCGACTTTGGATATTACCCAATGACAGTTCAAAAAAAAAAGAAGTAAGAAGATTTCCCACATTTCTTCGTATAGGGGATGAAACAAAAGCCGCAGATTATGTGGAAGGTAATAGGCGACTGAAATCAGGGATATACTTTCAGCAAAAACAGAAAAGACGTACAGAAACTGTGCCAGGGCGATAAAGAATCAGCTTGTTCTCAACGACACAACAGAAAACTATGTGTCGTTGTCTTCTGACCGTTTTCGCAAGCCTGTCGACAATTTCGCAACTTTTAAAATTTTTTAGGCATAACAAGTGCCTTCTTTTTTCTTTCCGAGAACAGCAATGTACAAGTGTGAGACCTGAAAAGTGTAATCAAGCGGCAGAATTTACACAACATAAAAGACTTTTTACAATGTCCAGGCGTTTGATAGCTGGGTTTCTTATGTGGAAACTCAAATCATTTGCGAACCAGTTAATTCCAAACTCTGACCGGTAATGTATCTTTCCCAAGCAGACCAAACAGCGACTTCACGATGTTTGCGAAATACTGAAACAATTTCCTGATCATGGGTGAATTTTATGAGCTGATTTTCCGGAAACATCAGACAATGCCTCTAATAAGCATACACACTGTTTTTGGATCTTTTTCAGTAATAGCCTTTTTTACTCACAATTTGATGTGCTGGCAAATCCAAATTTTGCTGCTGCTACTTTTCTGGGAACACCGTGTCTATTCACCATATTCGTTGTGATAGTCGTGAGTGATGGCTGCGCAAACAAATGACATTTCCTTTTTCAATTTTATGAAATTTATTCAACACCCATCTCCGATGTGAAAGGGGGTACGCCAGAATAGTATTTTGTGCTATAGATTTGAATTAGCGATTTTACAGTACCCTAAGAAGCAATCTGAATTATACAGGGTGTCCGTAAAGTATGTATACACTGTTTGATCGTTAATATCTCTTTTCCCAAGAAGTCTATTGCCTTGCGTCAGGTACCATTTTGTAGAGCTGGCTTCAACTTAGATTTGCAGTATGGAGCGATTCACCCATCTTTCTTCATTACTGTAGTATTACGGTAGAAACTGCGAAAAGGGTTTTAAGCAATGAAAGGCCATATTTTGCCTCAGAAAGGAAACAAAACAGCCTGAAAACTTCTACACTAGGCCAATTAGAGTTGCTGATTCTAACTGTAAAGTTCCCAACTTATTATGATGCTTCATTGAAGATTATGCTAGGTAAGAGGTAGCGGCCTTTTTTTCAATGTTCCTAAGAAGTGCGGTTACACCGTTTAGAAAGCCTCGCAATCTTGTGAGTATTTGAGTAGTTGAGTATTGAACTCAGCGTCCATAAAAACCCTACTGCACAAATTCTGACACTTTTTTGAAAAATTTTGAAACGGCAGCTTACCATATGTTTCAAGTTTCTACCGTAATCCTACAGTAATGAAGAGGGATGGGTGATTCGTTCTATACTGCAAATCTAAGTTGAAGCCAGCTCTACAAAATGGTACCTGAAGCAAGGCATAAGACTTCTTGGGAAAAGAGATATCAACGACCATACAGTGTATACATACTTTACGGACACCCTGTACAATCTCCGGAAAAACGGCCACATCTCTTGCATTTCGCCTTGATGAATACAATCGTTAATATCTAAGCGATTTGGGGAAACTTGCGTCGCATAATCAATATTATTTATTTTATTGTCTACGGTATAGAATATACCGTAACAACAAGAAGATCACATTAGTTCAAGAGAACATCAAAATGAGATTGTAGAGAAAGATGAAATGCAATTAGAAAGTGGAAAAATCGAGATACTGTACTTACAAAAAGGCAAGAAGATCAATGTTTTTAACGTCAACGATCGCCTTTACAAGAAAAATCAATTAATATTGTATATATATTAGAGGAATGACAACAAAGTACACCGTAATCACATCTAAGTATGGGCAGATAGAAAACACATACAGGCACAAATCAGCCGATGTAAAGCAGAATTTCGGGCCACTGGCCACAAATTAGGTAAAGTCAAGAGATAGAATCGTGATGCAACCTCAGCCTTTGGCAAATTATACTAAATAACACAACAATTTCTATACTGATGACTCATTTCTGATTTTTAACGCGAATTTATTATTTGGAGTCCTTGACTGCTCGGTGAGATTGAAAAACGGTAACGAACTTATAGTGCATAGTAACTGTACACCCGCATCGTCATCCTGAAACACGAAGAAATAAAGAAGAACAATTACGTTCAAAGTGCTAGCAGTATTGTCTCTTCCTATTCGACAAGAAATTAAAATAATAAAAATAACTGTCACCTTGTTGTGTGAACGTAATAAAAACGTGGTGCCATGCTGAATAGAAGCGGACGCTTGTTCATCAGAGATTATAGACCATTTGGACTCCGATACAATATCCTGGAAATTACAATTTTAGACAATTCCACCAAGAAAAAAGTGAACTCAGAACTAACCTTAGCAGGGAATCTATCGCTGAAAAATCGTTGCAAGAACGTGCGATAGTTCAGCCGCATGCTCAGACATCTGAATGATGATTATAGTCCTCGTTTAAGCAGTCCGAAATATTGCAAACCTTTCTATATGATGGGTGACAGCTTCGGCAGGATGTCGAGGCTGTTGCCTTGTTTGACGAAGATATTTATTCAATGGACGCATGATACATGCGAAGACACCTTGAGCTGCCGTCGTCGAATCCATGGCATCGCAAAGATTCTAAAAAATACCTTTGCCAACTCTTCTAAGTTTTTTGAATCTGAAGTCAAGTGATGAAACTGGGACGAAATTCTGAAAACTATTAGTATGCATGAAACGCAAAATTGTGGCAGTTTTTACACGTGAATGATTGAATTGTTTTTGTTTCTTTCCAAATTCAATATAGCTTTGTGAAAAAGTTGTTTTGGAAGTTGGCTGTGTCTCACTAAACCTATTTATTGAAAAAAAAACACAACCACTAGATTGGAAAGAAAATGAAACGTTTCGTAAACAATATGATCACTAACAAGGTGAAGCGGGGTACTATCAGTTCGAAAGAAAACATTTGTTTACTTCAAAATCAGATCTTGGTTTAAAAAACTACGAACTTTCACTCGCTCAAACCGTACAAACCCTTGCTATAATTATTCCTGACAGACCCAAGAAAAATACAGAAGTGGCAAACTCCGCCTCCTAGCAAACCTCAGCTCCACTCACCCAAGTTGGTTTGTACTACAGGCCATCAGAAGTGCAAATACAAAGTTCGTAGCTTGTGTGTCCTTCTTCGAAAGGAATATCAAATTCAGCAAAAAACCTAACATATACTCTCAAACATTTTCAGTAGGTCTCTGAACCTGAGCTAGCAATCAAAATCCACCTGTTCTCCTCTCATAGTATTATTTCTCGAGATAGAAATTTCTAGATTCCCATACTCAACATTCTCTTGAGGATCTATCTTATGTGCAGTCAGGGATTCAAAATTACACGAAGCAGCTGACATTCACTCCATATCCGATTAGAGTACAGATGGTCCCAAGTGTCAAAACTAAGTGAATTAACACAAATTACCTTGTTGCCTGCTTGACTGTCGACAAGGCTTTGCACCTGCGCGAATGCTTCTTCAGCCGACGCAATCAAGCGATATCTACATTGATAAACTTTGGAAAAAAATTCCATTGTGTGAGAAAATGATAAATAGGACAAACTGCTCACTTTCTTTTTTTGATTCGTCTTTCCCATTCGCATTCCTCTTGAAGAATGTCGTTGTGATTTGTGCTGCGTCGCCGCGATGTCGCTTCCATGAGTGCACGGAGGTTACTCTAAATTTTGGCGGTTGTAAAATCCTTTAAAAAAATCAAATCCATACCTGGCTGATTTCAGCAGTTCCACTGCCTAGTCCTTCAATATCGTACATTTTGAACCCTGGAGGCTGTGACGAATTTCGCATTCGATGACTGGATTGTCGAGCCTAAGAACAAATTTCTGATTATTTTTTATAGGCTCTGATACGAAATACCTTGTCCAGAAAAACATTGTAAGAAGGAAAGTAGGACTCGTGGAAGCGCAGAACCTGTATGGCCGCTTCTTGCAAGGACATCATACCTAAAACAAGAAGAATTAGCAAAGAAACTGCTATGGTGCTGGCAAATTACCTAATGACATAGTTCTCGATTCACCGTCCGGATCGCGGACCACAGTGACAATGTACTCAGGACGTAACCGTCGGAGTTCTAGTACTATGACTGAGATGTAATGAGTATACAGTAAAGCATCTAGCAATGAGAGCGCGTAGGTTACCTAAACAAAAAATGACTCTGTCATTGTTATTTCTATATTCCGTTATATTCTCAAAGAAAAATTCAGAGGTGTAAAACAGAAAAAATCAGAATTTTAATTACATAAAATTTTCCAACTTCTTCCGCTTGCTTTCGAGAAAAAGCTTGGGTTATTTTAGTTTTTTTAGAAACAAAAACAGCTTTACAAGGGAATCCCTCTCATAACTTATGGTGGTTAAAGCTCAGTTGAATAGGAACATCTTGAAAAAGCATGATCAGCTTTTGCAATCGATTCAGGGCATTGTCGTGATAATTTTTTTCTTTAAGGCAAGATAGAAAACATAGTTGTATACAACCTACCACATAAGTATAGTTTCCATGTCTTTCCATGAAAATTCGTACTGTGTAGAATAACCAAAATGCAAATAAAATAAATAACACAAAAAAGCTCAGAGCTGCACGGGCGAAGTACCTAGAAAACCACAAATATTTGATAAACAATTTATTTAAGAAATAAAACTTACAGCCTCGGAAGATCAGCAGCAGCTCGTCGCCAATATAACGCCCATAATGCAACGACTAATAATAAAGTTTTGATTGCCATTAATAACAAATAACCTTGGCAATCGACCTAGAACAAATCACTTAGCAAAGCTTGTAAGAGAAGGAAATATAGCACTTACATTACATGTGATTTGTGGATATTGATAACCTAGATAAGAAATTGCGAATGGCAATGTGCACATGAGAGGAGCCGATGCAAGGGCTATTATAGAAATCAAACCAGCGGCGCTAAGCCACAATACTCTGGAGCACCTGGAAAAAAAAACCTTTAGAGCCGATAACAATTATTTTCAGAAAATGATTTTTCTGACCTCCTGCTCATCACTCTTCCCATAGGAGGTTCATAGACGGGCCGATCGTCCCCGTTATAAGAGTGTTCACTGGTCATACCCGTCAAGACTGTAGTATTCTCTCCATATTCCTCAGGCGGTAGTCCTATTTTTACTCCCTGAAGATCATGCTTAGAAAGTACCACGAAGCAAGAACTTGTAGGACCCACTTCACTAGCTACAGCTGAGAATCGTGGGATAAAAGGTTCCCCGACATCTGACTGGGAATATCCCCGTCCCCTTGGCTTCATCAGTCGCAGATCACCGCGGGATGACCCGCGGAAGTCCTTCGGCGGACCACGACGGCCGCCGGCGGACACTGTCGACATAACGTCTTGATCTGTAAGTATAGTTTTTGAAGCCAATAAAAATCAATATTTGGCGAAAAAATTCGCAATGATGTAAAGAGCAGATTGTGCAAAATATAGCAGTTTAAGCTTTAGCTTGAGAAGTAGAGGCGAATCAAAGCGCGCACAGTGTGATTGGCTCTTTCTTTTCCTATGCCCTCTGCCGTCTCTTCAAAACACTAACTATCTCTACTGGATGCAGTGGCGTACATTCTCTGCGTGCGGTGAATAGCTTATACGCAATAAGGCGTGGAAAAACCTTATGAGCAACAGCATTGACGTGAAAGTCTAGGGCTTCTACAACAGCAACAAGTGTTGAATGAAGCGCATCAAAAATCAAGCACATGCAAAACTTCAGGGCTTTCCATTTTGGAATATTCACTATCAGGGGATTGATCGGCCAAGAAAAAGTGCATTATTTTCTAAATTTTGTTAATCTTAGCATTTATCCCTCATCGACAACATCGATAACGAGGCAAGGATGAACTCGAGGACTGTAATATCGACGTGTAAAACTGGAATAGCACTCAGATAAAACTACACACTATTGCAGGTTATTACATTCACGATGAAGAGAACCTGTATGCTGCCATGCACTGCATCCTCACTCAATCTACTGCTTAGTGGCTGACTGTGAGAGCTTACATTGGTAAAAAAGGCAAAAGACTTTTTAAATAACTCAGAAAAAAAGATGAAACAATTCAATAATTTCAATGCAACTGTGAAGTTTGAAAAGTCCAAAAGAAGCTGCTACCTTCCGCTCTTCTTTCTCAGATGTGAGATATGACAGACGAGAAATTAGTTATCCAAACTATACGAAGAGTTGTTAACAAGAATTACAGACTGGCTTGATGATGGCCAAAAATATCAAGCCAATATCAAATACGAGAAACAAATGGAATGAATTTTACATAGGAAATTGAAGCACTATAATAGACGATAATGGAAGGTCAATAGTCTCAAGGCAATTAAAAAAGAGCCCTTAACTGTAAAAAAAATGCTGTACTATGATAAAGCCAGTAGGATATTACTCAACTTGTTACGGAAGGGGCACCCCTAAATAACATTAGGTTAGAAACAAAATACTGCCGCATATTTAAGTTGGGGTCATGTAAGAGTCCACAATTTCAGAAATTTCAAAAATATGTGGCAGGAATCTAGGACTGGTGAAGGCCGAGTTTAAGATTTTTCATTCGTTTTCTTCTCAATTTCAAACCACAAGAATTTCTATGTATGGGAATGACGATTGCGTGCGTTTACCATAAGCAATTAAAGCACTTGTTGAAGCAAAGAATGATTTTTGGCTTTCCGAAATGGTCCTGCATCTCAAGTTCAAAATTTACGTGAATCACGATTTCGGCAGATGTTTGATGGTCATCCTGTAGAGCTTTTTTCTTGCTCTATAGAATGCTACCCTACATGTCCTTTTTCATGTCTGAAAGTCGCTGTAGCCTAAGGAACGATATTTTTCTTCCCAACCTAATCCATGGAGGGTCTGCATTAACTAAAACAAATATTTACATCTGGAACTTGCGAAAATTCTGCAATTCTTGACTGCAATGAATATAATGGAGCATACAACCGAGATACTAGAAAATATGCAGGAGTAGCAGCATTCGTGTACTAGAACATCCACTCAATGGCATTATAAATGCATTCAATGGTACCATTAGTCTGATACGAGATATGGGCATGAGGAATGAATATGTGGACAATACGACGTTTACGAGCAGAAAGAGAGAAACGAAAAAAAACTATAAACAAATCGACTTTCCATTAATCATTTCAGGGGATGGATCCAGTATAGTGGCTGAAGCTATTAAAAATTGAATCTCGATTTTTTCCATTGTTGCAGGGTTCAGGGACCTGGCACTAGCCAAATTTGATCGATGACTGATGTAAACATCAAGAACAACCAAAAAGCGAGTATTTTAGATGTGCAGAGCGAAATGCTCCATCTATAGAGGAATAATAATGACGGAGCCGAGCTAATTCTGGTGCATACCAAGACCTCATTTACTTTGCAACTCAACGAGCATTGAACTACTAAGTGGGTAATAAATATTGAGTGAGCACTAGTAGGTACCAATACTCGTACCAGGACCACAAGTCTGCACGAGAACCCCTTTTGAAGGGAAGAATTTGCAAATCTTGATTAAATTTTCATTTAGACAGGCAAATGGGGATATCAAGCAATAAAGTGAAGAAGTTTAATCAAATATTGAACAGCGATGAAGGCACTATCTGAAGATAGGTTGTTTTTAAAAAGAAGTTGAAGAAAACAATGATAAACGGAGTTTAATAAAAGCGTATTTGTCGGAGATGTGATCACTAGCCCTATGATGATCTGCATCGCTCACGATAATTGTGACACAGTTCCAAATATTCGATATTTTTTTTGCCATATAGAATGGTAGAAAAAATGGATATCGAAGTAATCAGAATATAGGTACCGAGGTTGTGGACTTGTTCGAAACAAAAAAAAAGAGCAAAATCAACAACATGAAAAATTTGCATTGTTTTCAAAATGGAGCTTACACTAGAGCTGTATCAGCATGACTAGTACAAGTTCGATGTGTAGATTTTTTACACGAATCGAAGAAGCGTGAAATGACTATTCAATGGAGCTAGAACTAGATGTATTGGCAAAAAGGGCAATACTTGACAAAAAACTGGGATGCCGAAAAGTAAGTGAAGATTTTGAGCAGTCAAATTAAGCTAATGCAATGGTAAGTAAAAGGTTACCGAAAAATGCAAGAAAAAGAAAGTCCCCTTTTTCAAATCAATTAGAAATTCTCCCAAGGTCTTTCATTTAATCAAGTGCAGGTGTGGCGCCGAATAAACGTCGAAATATAGCCATTGTCTCGGGAAGTTTCGATTTGTTTATTATTTAAAGTTTGCAGCGGATGATGATGTAATTTTAAAAAAAAATGGACGCAATGAAATTATTCATAGTACGACAAGGTTAAGATCTAATACAATTCAAAACCACATATTCATGCGAAAGAGAAGTCTAAATTGTAAATTTAGTGGTTTGAAGACATAACATAATAAATAAACATCAAATTTGCAGAAATTTGAAAATGAATTTAAAAATCATGCAGAAAGTAGTTAACAGCTTTTATATTTTTGGATGAAGCTCTTCGAGAGCTTCGAATGACAGGCGAATGCTTTCTTTTTTTTATAATTTGCCTATTTTCGAAGATAAATTAGGATTTCAGAAGCGACTCATCTACAAGTTTTTAGGGTATGTGACTCCGCAGGGAAAAATCCAAAAAAAAACGGAAACAAAAACATGTCTGCAAAATTCAGGAAATCAGACCTGAAGAGTCAAATGTACAAAATGGAGTTCCACCGAACGCGGCACGGAGACGAAAAAAAAACAGAATGCAATTTTCAGGTACCACGATAAAAAGTCCAGAATGTAGTTTGACATGGTTGTTGAAGAGGAGACAAAGACGACAAAAAAAAGAAGGAAAGGATCATCTCGCATAATAACCAACGTGATTCAATGAGTGCGTGATTTGCATACAATCGTGAGGTCGCGGTATCGATCCGTAGCGGATAGGGGGGTGGGGGCGGGGGTGATGAGGGAGCGAGGGGGGAGGACGGGGGACGGGGCCATGTGGTCGAGGGGCGACTCCAATTAGCCCATAAAGAAGGCGCCGTTCCGATTTGACAGGATTGGGTAATGACCGGGCCTAGCAGGGGAGAAGATGGATTCGCAACCGTTTACGGCTTTGCATTGGTTCGACTAGTTCGGAGAAGTGTGGCGCACGGGTTCCCCTGGGAAGAGGATTATCTCCCGGTGATGTGATGTTCACCGTCGAATGTCGGCTAAGAGGACAAGCGGGACATAATTATGATCGGGGGAAAAGAATATTCAGGGTAGCAGAAGTTACCAAGGGAAGGCAGCTGGAGAGATGATTTTTGGACAACTGTAACAAAAATCACGCACTTGTGGTAATGGTAGAGTGAAATCGAAATATTCTAAAAAATAAAGTAAGGGCGAAAAGCTTAGCCTTCTACAACATGAAATGAATTTTTGCATCAAGAGAAAATTTCAGACCACTGCTCAATGCGAGATTGTTTTAGGAAGATAAAGGAGCAGAATATTCATCTTCTTCTTTTATCACCCAACGACTTCAATCAGTTGATAATAGGGACTTGATAGTGAGAATTTCACATTTTCAAAAAGGACTATTATCTGCATAAAATACATGATCTATTAGGTTGTCTCATATTTTTTTACCGTTTTTACTACAACCGCCGTCTTTTCGTACCTTTCCTTCATCTAGTGTGGCTTGAGTAATCATTCGACAGGGCAAAGCAAGCTCTACAAGATGGCTATCAAAATTCTGCCCAAATCATATCCCATATGAAGTTTTGAGCTGAGATCTGATAGTAGTCGAAAACGATTTTTCTTCTAAAAATCGTATCTACGCTCCAAAGCATCTAAAAAAATCCCCCATTTTTTCTAGTAGATGCTTGACACATTGCACATTCGATCGCACACTTTTCGAATTTTTTCCGTGGCTAGAATTAAAGAAAAAAGTGAATGAGGCGAAATGGAAAACTCCGCCCCTAGACGTCCTGAGCTCCTCCCACGCATATGATCATATAGCTCATAAATATAGAAGTATGATCATGTATTTGGATTTTTTGTAGGTGCCCCAGTTATCGAGAAATGCTGGTGTTTAGGGTAAAAACGGTAAAAAATCATGAGACAGCATAATACGAAACTGGTAGAAAAATTTCTATTTTTGTATGAGGTCAAATCATTTTGAGAAAAGCTGCATAGCGTTTGAAAGGAGAAATCACACAAAGCAGATATTTTTTTATTACGATTTATCATAGAATTTCCAGCATCATTTCCGTTTTACAAACAAGAAAATATATCGAGAGATCATACAGCTCCCTAGTACTGCAAAAAAGAACACGATTTTTCTTTGCTGGTTTTTATGTATTTCAGAATGGTCCTTTCCATAAGAGAAGGTAGCTTAGCAGTCAGTCTTCAAGCGAATGTTCTAGTTAGAATTACCGATTGGGA